CTGTATAGTCAACACCTCTCTTGATGGTGGCACTTTTTAACTTGTTTTATTGCTGTATGGTCTGCATATATAAAATATTCTGCTTTTTTGATAAGTGCAAACAGTAGCTCTGTATTTTGTCTGAGTTCAAACAATCATTTTTAATATTTTGTTTATAGCCTTGAACACTTTTTGTGTCTAATTGATCATATTTCTCCTTCCTTCCTCTTTTAGAAGCAGTTTTGAGCAGTAGAAGGCCACTTTTTTTGTTAAGATGAACAGCAACATTGTTTAATTCCTATTAGGTTTGCATTTTCTGAGCCTGCAATGGCCTGCCTGATGAGCTCTCCTACAGACTGTGGAACAGTGACTGCTCCTTGAATTTTGGCTCTTCTGCCACTGCTGCTGTGTCACGTCCAGATTTCATAGCCAGTCCTCAAAGATGGGTGACCAGAGCCGTTAAAATCTTAGATGGAATACTGGAATTTGATCTAAAATTCCATTTAGTTATGGTAAGACAGTCTAGTGGAAAAGCAGCAGGACTCCCAAGTCCTCTTCTGCCAACTGGTTAGCTCCCAGCACCTGCTGGTGCCTGGGGTTATTCCCAGTCTTTGGGGTGGGTCTCACAAAATGGAGCTTGAACCCCAGGGACTCCTAACTTTAGGCCACCCTCAGTGGGAAGTGCAGCTGCCAGGTATTTAAGACACAGGATAATGCAAGAGAAGTTCAGGGTGACCTTCTGTATCACTGTGCAAAGGTGTCTCTTGCCCTCTGCAGTGAGTGCTGGGTAACTTGCCACTATTGTCTGGGTTGTTTTGGTTTCATTTTGTAATTATCTAAATGGTTTGCTCTGCTTTGAATTAGAGGCATAATTCAAACCTCAGCCTTAGCCATTTACCTCTGAGTGTGCTTTTTATGTCAATACACATCATTTATATACTAATGGCCCTCTAATCATCAAATCTAATAATCAGAAGATGATTAGATGATCCCTGCATCTACTTCTCAATATTCATTGCTGTCATAACCAGTAGTCCCTGGTTATTTTGGGTCACAGGTTACACAGGAACAAGAAGAAGGAGGTAACAAATGGAAGGGGTAGCAGCAGCAGAAATTCATTCCTGTGACCTGTCTTTACCATTAATTCCTCTCTCTAGTCCTCATCCTGCTTTCTGCCTTCTGCATAGTGGTAACCAGCTGTCTTTGACTTGAACTTGGGCATGGAGAGCTTGGAATTTTCATGGTACTGGTAGGAATGTGGGGCTGATATACTTGGTTGATAGGAATTTGGCTTCATCCTGTGTGAAGTCCTACTCTGGTTTTACCAGCCCTCATCAAAGATGAGGTGGGATGTCTCCATGTTATTTCAGGATGCAGGATACTGTGGAAAGGAGCAGATGTGTGGGAGAGAGTAGACAGGTAGAGCAAGCAATTTCCTCCCACTGCTATTTGGAGTGAGAGGAAAGAGGAGGCTGACCAGTGAGCAGCTTTATTTTGTAAAAAGGGAGAGGAACTGTTAAGATAATAAAATAGTTCCAGTAGAGAACTGCACATTAAGTAACTCACTGTTGCACTAACTGAGGCATCTGGATACTGCTGTTATATAAATATTAAATGCATTTAATAACAATGGTGTTCCTCCAGCTGGAAGAAAGTTTAACGTGTCTCTGAGGGGCTGGGATCTCTCCGCTAAATACAGTCAGTTCCAGGGTTGGCATCAGAGCAAGGGAGTTTGGCTGTGCCTAAACATCCAAGAGAGCATTGTCTGCAAGATCTCCATCTTCTGTTCAGGCAGAAACAAGCACTTTCTGACGTGACACAATGTTAATACTGCACTAATTAGGGCGCTGCTAACACTATTCTGCATTTGTCTGTGGGGTCCCTGAAAGAAGGACCTTGTAATTTCTACTCCCATCTTCCCAAGAATAATTTATATACTGGGATGAAATCAAGACCCGCAGATGATATTATCTTTATGGGTTTATATTCTGTGTTGATCATTACAGTATGACAACTTACTGCATAGGAAAAACTGTCCTGGAGCCCAGAAAAGGGCCTGCCTTAAAAATGCTTTTGGTTTCTTTCTTGTAAATTGAATGAATAAAAAAAAAAAAGTATTTGGAGCAAAGTTTCCCTCCTGATTAACAAAATCTCTGCATGTTATGCAATGTTGGCTCTATTTAAGTGTTTAGGAGTCTTGCATTGATTTAGATGCTCCCAAATCCAGATCCCAGCCCTGTTCCGAGTCTGAGTTATTCATGGCACACTACTGTTGTTCAGGAATAACAATTTAATTCCTCACTGAACAGGGTTGGCTTGATGCTTAATACAATTGAAACCAGCCACTTACACCATTTTGATGGCTAAAGATGAGAGTGAAACATGTGCACTCCCATTTTCTCCTATTTCAGCTATTTGGAGATGCTGCTTTGGGGCAGCTTTGGAAAAAGATGGTGCTATGGAGGTACTGCAGGATGGGGATAAAATTACAAAGGTTACAGGTTGAATAGATGGATGTTGTGGTCAGATTCACTTTGGAATTTGTCTGGGAGGCTGCTGTGAATGAAATTAATTGGAGCAGGAAATAGTGCAAACATGGCTGCCTGCCTTGTGCTCTGCTAGATGCGTGAGGAGCACAGTGCAATAATGAGAATATTGGCTTAAAACTTTCCATTGTTTTTTAAGGATCCAAATTTCCTCTGGGTTTCATTAAAATGCACAATATTTTTGAATCACTCACTAGCCCAGCAGTGCAACAAGGTGTTTATTCCCCCATTTATATCCCACACAATCCTTATTCTCCAGATGATTCTCCAAGAAGGGCTCTGCGTCCAAGCCTGCAGTGCTGGAGTTCATTCTGTGCTCAGACTCCTGTTTCCAGAGATGCTAATGTCTTCCAGAGAATTTCACACATCCATCATCAGCTGACATGTCACTAAGTGGTCCAGGCTTGGGTGAGAACATGCACAGCTCAGTATAATCATTTAGGTTGCATCCCAAAAAAATGAAGATAAGAGTCTGCAGCGTTGCACTAGGAAAGATTAAAATTATTAAAATGACAAACACATCTTGAAATCTAATTTCATTTCAAGTCTGATGGGTTTCTTCCTTCCTGCTCCCAGTCATGTTAATGTTGTAGGCTCCTGTAAATTAACGTTTATTCTCTGTTCTGTGGTCTATAGGATGAAGTGATGCTTGTCTGGGGAATGCTAGGGCTGTAGCCCATAATCCAGTGCCAGATACTGCTGGAAAGCTGCAGTTTGCACACAGCTAAAATGACTATAAGATTACAGAAGATAAAATACAAAAGCTGCTGCTGTCAGATATGATGTACAGCTTTTGTACTTGTATGTTCTACACCACAGAAAGATGGAGATGGTTTTCTTTTTTCTGCTTAGAAAAAGGATTTTCAATCCATTTCTCTCCCTGAAAGCTAGATCAATAAAACTATTGTTATGAAAATTGCTCTCCTAACTATATAGCAACCAGTTTTTCTAGTATGAAAGTGTTTTAACTTTATTTTTTTATATATATGTATATATATATAAAATTCACATTATACACTGCAACGTAATGAGGTGATGGAATTTTACTGGAGACTTTGGCATTGTTCAGCACAGGCCAGTTGTGAATTTTTGGGATGCTGTGCACCTATACTTTTACTAAGAGGTACTTTGAGACCACAACTGAATGAAACTGGGTCTCTGTTCAGGAAATTTTTCAGAGTCATTCACTTTTCCCTAATGATATTTATACACATTGATGAGGTCCCCTCTCAGTCATTTCTTGAAGCTGGACAGCCCCAATTCCCTCAGCCTTTCCTCATAAGAGATGCTTCAGTCCCTTAATCAATGTTGTTGCCCTGAATTACCTTGATGTCATTTTTTAATTGTCTCAGAGGGTCATTTTTTATTTTTCCTTGGGTTACATTTTTGTTCTTCATAACTTGTAATGTTTTGCTTCTGATGGAGCTGATTTCTCTCTCTACCTTGCTAAAATAATTACAGCTGAACCTGCTTGAGACAGAGGCACTTAGAAAATGGGGAATTTTCAGGTTCCTAACTCTTATTACAGTCAGATTCCAATTAACTTCTCTGTTACAAATCATGCAGTATTAGCTCACTTCACAAAGGAATACTTACTGTTTGGGATAAAAGACACATTTAGATGGAATATAGAAAGTTGACATTACTTTATTCAGTCTTGAGGTACATGGGGATCACTCCACAAAACATGTACATCACTTATCAAACCTTTTAATTATTTACGCATTTCAGCAAACACAGGAATTAGTTCAATGGCTTACAAGTCACATAGTTCTCTTGTTAATTAGTATTCTATCTTCTATCAGTTATCGGTTTCTTGCTTCTTATGCTAATTAGTCCACATTTTCAGTCTTTTTATTACCAGTCTTCCTGTTATCTTTTTATTATCTTTTTCCCAGATAGGGCATCTCTGGTTCATGTAACTTGTGTCTTTGTGGTAGCTGCATTCTTGGTGTCCAGGTCACAACAATAAATAAATAAATTCCTCTCCCAGGTCTAAAAGAAATGAAGCACGTCAGGCCCTAAACTTTCAATTTTTTTTTTCTAACACACGGACACCCCCCAGATCTTGTCATCTTGCATTAAACAAGAATATCCTCCCACTGCTGCACAGGCTCCTTTTTAAAGGGATACTATTTGTTCGGTGACAGGTGTTAAATCTCATCGCGTTTTTCACAAAGCGACGCGTGACCACCTGAGGGCAGCACAGGCCCGGTGGGTGGAGGTGCGACACAACATATAATAAATACACAGCAATGTGTAGGAGACGTGTGTAACTCGTACGGAGTGTCCCCGGTTTTTTCACGAGAAGGAAGTTTAGGAATAACGCGACATAAACAGGGTAAAAATCCCCAAAAGCCATGTGGAAGCGGGCAGTCCTCCGGGCCGCCAGGGGGCGCGGCGGCGCGAGCCGTGGCCGTGCCGCTCCCGGCGGGGCGCGGCGGAGGCTGCGGGGCCGCAGAGGCGGCGGCGGGGCCGCACCGGGGGCTGGGCGGGCTCGGGGCGCTCGGGGGGCTCGGCCGCCCCTCCGCCGCCCCGCAGGTGAGTCCGGGGGTGGGATAAACCTCTGCCCGGCTGAGCCTCGGCCGGTGCGGGTGAAGTCCCTCGGGGAAAGGCGCGGGGGGGGAGGGGTGAGGTGCGCGGGGGTTGTGGACCCCCAGTCCCATGTACTGCTGGAGCCGGGATGGGAATGATGGGAGTGATAGAAATGGCTCGTTCTGTTTCTGTCTACCTCCCATGCACCTGCGCTGCTGTGGTCTGCCCTTAGAAAATAGTGCTTCGATTGTATGTTATTTTTATTATATGTCTATATGAAATAATACGTATTTATTATAGAAATTAATATAAATAATAGGTATCACCGGGCCACTCTTAGAAAATAGTGCTTACCTTTTATGTAGTTTTAATTATTTATCTATAGTAAATAATACATATTTATTATAGAAATTAATATAAATAATATATATCACTGGACTACTCTTAAAAATGTTATTTTTGTTATTTATTATTTTTATTATTTATTGTTATTTTTATTTATTTTTTAATCTATATACAATATTTAATCTATAAATAGAAATAGTATATATTATTCAATTAATATAAATACTAATGCATATTATTATTAAATTATTATGAATAATGATTTATACTGTTATAAAATAGTATATATTTTATATATACTATATAGTAGATGTTATATATGATAAATAGTATATATTTTATATGTATATTTATACTATTATATACTATTATTCTTTAAATGTGGTCAGTGTGATCAGGATATAGTGCTTGTAACAGCTACATAAATATATTACTATATTTTTACAGAGTATGTGTGGTTTGGTTAACACAGCTCCAGTTTGTACTTCTTGCCTGTATGTCATATGTTCATGTAGATTTTGCTCAAGATTTTGCCCTGGTTTTGGCCAGGAGCTCTTAGTTCATACATGACACAGATTTTTCTTGTTCAGCAGAACCAACATCCAGACAAAGGTTAATCCAAAAGTGTGCAGATATGAGGAGAAAATAATTCTATTAAAATGGTTTGCTTTCAGTGGGCGTGTTCACAGCAGAGAGTTTTTCCAGGAAATGGATTAAAAATAATAAAAGACTTAGCTGGGATTTTACACACTCTGTTTTTCTGCTTGTAAAAGAGAAGGAGGAAGGGAACTGCCCTTATATTCCTTGGTACTGTGAGGGGCAGAGTTCTCCCTCAGAGTTTTCTTCCACAGTCTATTTCTGCAAGAGAAGGGGGAAAGGTCCTTCCTTAACAGCTTGATGGTGAGAACTCAAATAAGTGCTCTTTGAAGGCATTTTTTTATCAATATGATTTTGGAATAGATGTGTGAAAAGCTAGACAAACACCAGGAGTTCTGTGAGAGTCAGAAGACTGTTCCTCTGCCCAGGTAGTCACCCGGAGAGGGATTTGTAAGATTGTAGTTCAGTGTTTTGCCATGTAGTTGGTCACCCTGAGCTGTGGGACTTGTGTGAGCACTGCACAATGAGCTGCTGCCCAAATCTGTATGTGCCCCTTGTACTGGGCCCTGTGGTATCTGACTGAGGGGAGGAAGGTGGCTGGAAAGTGCCCAGGTGCATAATACATTGTTAGGTTTTCTTTAGCTGGATTTGGCTGCAGCTGGTAATGAATGAATATGAAGGCAAAGCTGCCATTGGGACTTTTCTTTTTTGGTAACATCCCGTTGTGATAAGAGCTGAAAACTCACTTGTACTTTGAGCATCAGAAGAAACTTGTTTCATAAAATTAAGTGGCATCTGTTGTACCTTGTGGAATTTGTGGAAGATAAGGTTGTCCTGCTGTTCTTCAGTGAGGAGATCAATGGCCTGAAGTGTGTGGTGGATGCAGGGAATGGTTCTCAATGCAGCAGGGCATGTAAGATGAGCAGGATGAAGGGCTGGCAGTAATGTGAAACCTTGATGGTGAGAGTGAGCAGCTTGAACTTGAAGAAAGGCAAATATCTGTCATTGAAACCTTCAGAGAGGAGAGCCACAGGAAATTTGGGCTCCCTGCTTCTCTTATGCCTGGTGCCTGAGAGTGTCCTAGGCACAGTCTACCAGAGAAAGGGAAATGGGGATCAAAAATTTACCTGAATTGAGTTTAGATGTCCTTCAAGGAGAAGGGATCAAGTTGAATGGTCCAGAAGCAAATAACTTCTTGTCTGTACTCCAGAAAAATAGGAAAAATACATTGTTGCTGGATAAGGAAAGCCTGGTCAGTTTTATTTCCCAACATGATCTGGAAAACTTGTCAATATTTAGTGTAATTGGTGTAAATAACTACTCCTTTCTGCTGTGTTTTTAAGGTGTTCGGGTAGGAATGCTGGCAGGTGAAGCAAACAAAATGATTGCATCAGTCAGGGCTGGAAAAGAGCTAAAAAAATTCATAAATGAAATACAAATGCACCACCATGTTACATCTAGTGAGTCATTGTGTCCTCTTTGTACCCGGGTAACCCTTTTATGTGTGTGAAAACAAGCTTTTCACTGAGAACAGCTTTGATGTTAAAGCTCTGGAGCAGTTGTGAGAGGAGTTTTTTACTTAGGTTCTGTAATCCCATCCCCAAGCCCATGGTTTTAATGTTAGGAAAGATCCCTGGAGAATCCAGTTTGGCCTTGGAGGTGATGTGGGCCATAGATTGCAACCTGTGATTCCTGGGTTTAGCTTGGAAATGCTAAACAGCTTTAAAAGCAGCCTCTGCTATCGGTCTGCATTCTTTTAAAGATAAGACATGTGCTAATGTTGATTATAAACTGCTCTCCAAATTCAGGGTTGGCCTGGGAATGCCTATTTCAAAAGTCTCCAGTACAGATTACAAAGGACACATGATTTTCCTCTGGGTGTTGCTGTGTGAGAGGGAGAATTACTGAGCAGGTGCAGTGCTAGTTGTGTTTTTCAGATGTGCAGCAGTCACAACAATTAAAGCAGTTGGTTCTTTAGTGGTTTGTAGCTTTCTGTATGATTTGTTAGAAATCCGCACTATTTTCCTGCAGTGACAGGCAGTGTTTAAGGTCAGGTTAAATATTAGCAGACTGTATGTGGTTTGTATCTTCTATTTATATGTTGGAGAAGCAGCTGTGCTGAATGATAAAGACTTTTTTTGGATTATTTTTGGTAGTAGTGACGTTCTACTGCCCGGCAGTTTTTAGAAAAGGCATATTACACATATTTCATACATGATGTCATTATTTCTCAACAGCTGGTAATGTGGTGGAGATCAGAGGTGCTGTCAGAGTGAACAAATGAGTTTCAAGCATTTAACAATGAAGTACATAGGGAGAAGTCTGAATTAATTACTCTGAGAGTCTCTGTTACTTACTGTGTTCTTATTTCATTTCTGTTTTCAAAGCCGTCGTGGAGCTATGTGGAAATGGGGTAGTGGAGATGATTCTCCATCCAAAAGAGTAGTAAGTGCTGAATTACTTTTAATATCTTAAGAATTTAATTTAACTTTTCTTATACTAATCGTATATATTTGCTCTGTTATAAAAGCGTTGTTTGACTAGCTTTGCTATGACAGTTCTAGGACTCTAAAAGTCAGGTTGTGTTCTTGTTTCTTATCTACTTGGTGTTTAATCTCTCATGCATAACCCAGCTGCTGTATTCCTCTTCCCTCTGCTTATCTTTCCTTGAGGAAACATTTGCAGGAATTATATAAGCTTTAGCCCAAGTGTATTTCTGTGTAGAGTATTTTCAGTATCAATATTTTATTGATATTTATTTTATCTCCCAACACTGCTGGTTGTCACAACACAAATGCAATGAATGAGGAAATTTAGTTTTAGATACCTGGAATGCTTTGATGGTTTTGCTGTAATTCAAACTAATATTCCTAAAGCAGTTTTCAAGATTTACAGTTCTATGTGAGGATCAAACTTGCTAAAAATGGCCTGTTGTAGGGATGTATAGTAAATGTAAGTTTTAATATTTAATTTAATAAGATTTGCTGAATTTAAAAAAACCCCAAAACTCAAGACACCAGCTGCAGGCTTTTTGAGGTTGTCTGCAGAATTTTGTTTGATCCAAGCACAATTAATCCCTGCAGGCTGCAGGCTCCCAGGATGCAGGAAACATGTCTGTGATGGATTTGACTGAACAGCTGACAAGCACTGAGCAGCTGGTGACACAGCTAAAGGAGCTTGTCAGGGAGAAGGATGCTGAGCTTCAGAATAAAGACCTTCAGTTAAAGGTACTGAGTGTGTGTTCTGTCAAAAAGATTATTTAAAAGACTCCTTCAGTCCTGTTTATAATGTTTTTGTAGATACAAATCTGTTACAGTAGCACAAGGAACATGGTCACACAGAGCTGTTTTGGTTTCTGGACATTGCTACTTTTTCCCAACATGTGTTTTGTTCCAGGATTGAACTAGGAAGAATTTATATCTAATATCCTAAAGATTTTTGGGGGGGTTGTTATTCTTTTCTCTGTTTTTTAAACACTCCTAAGGTTGGTCTGTTCCTGCAAGACTTATTTTTCCACTTTTTATAAAATACCTTCTGTGGTTGTGAACAGCCAAATGTTAAAATATTGAATTTTTTAAAACTCCACTGTGAATTAAGTAATCTCGTTAAACAAAATGAAATAAACGTGTATAGTATTATAAAATATTATTAATATTATTATAGAAAGTATAGTATTTTGTCTTCCTTTTTGCATAAAAAAATAATTCTTCTTTTTAAAAAATCAAGTCCAGAACCTGTACAGCGATGAAAAAAACATGAAAATTTGTATCATAATGCTCTGGATTCTGTACACTAATAATAAACCATGTGCTGAAAGTTTAAATGATAGAAAGAAAACTTAAATAATGAAAATGAGACATTGCAATATCTCATCAGGGGAGAGATTTTTTTTCTTTATCGCTTCAGATTTCTCCCTCTCCTTTTTTTTTTTTTTAATGGAAGTACAGAAGGAAGCAGTTGTCCATGGAGCTAATTTAGTCCTTCATGACTTTGATGTTTGTAGGAGGAGAAGGAATCTGCTGATGCCAGACTTTCCAAGCTGAAGCTGCAGAACAAAGCCAAGGTTGCATCATTAACCTCCCAGTTGGAAGAGCTTAAGAAGCAGTTACCAGCAGCAGGAGGCTTAGAGGCAAAAGCAGAACCAAAAAAGGTGAGTGTCCTCACACTTTAGACCATATATAATTCCTGTGGGCAGTTTGCCATGCTGGACTCCATGTGGAACCAAAGTTTACATTAGGATCAGGGTGCTGTCAATTCATCTATGTTGCTATTTAATAGTTTTATTTTTCTACAGACATTTAGAAAATTGTACATTCCTTTCAAATTGTTTTAGTAAAAAAAAATTCTTACTGATCTTCATCTTATTATCAGCTCAAAGTTTTAACACATGTGAATCAGGATGGAAACATTTTGAGAAGAAATGAAAACCTAACTTATTCCTTAGGAAATGGAAAACTCCTTGGTAGCAAAATGTAAATTAAGTGTTGGAATGTTTCATTTAAGTGACAGGTGTTTTACTGTTAACAGAGATCTGTTTGTAGTAACACAGTTGTGCAAGTAGACTTTTACTTCTTCAAAATAGCATATTTGGACTTCATACAGCTTCTAAAATAACTTTAGTGAGGCTTTGGTATTTTTAGGGCATTTGTTTTTTAAAACAGTTTTGAAAGGGAACAACAGCTTGTTGCAGTCCCTAATTGTCCTCAGAAACGTGCAGTGCCATTATTTATGATTCTGATCTATTTTGCTAATAAAACATGCTTAGCAATTGCTCTCGACAACTTAATAATAGTGTTTATAACCCAGCAGTTACAGCTATGGAAATTACTCATCAATAATTATCATTAATAATTTAAATACAGAGACTTTTACGAGCTTAATACAAATTCTATGCCTGGTTTGTCCAGCTTCTACATGGAATATATAAGAGAGCTGAAACACTTTTTCTCACTAATATTATTTGAGTAGGCAGAGGTACAGAAGCCAGGTGTTACCTGTTAATGGAAAGCAGTCATGTTTTCCCTATTAATGGAATGCAAACCTCCCTGGTTTTTTTTCAGGCATCAAAAGATGGTGACCAGGAAAATGCTGCAGCAAATCGTGGGAAAATATTAGTGCTGAGAAGGAGAATTGAAGAACTGGAATCCCAGATCACCCAGAAAAATGAGGAGTTACAAAAAAAGGTGGCATTTTGCATGATGCCAAGTGTGTGGCTTTCCACATTTGTGTATAAGATTATATTTAAATATATTTATTTAAGTATGTAGTTAATTCTATGCTACTAAACACATATTCTGAGAGTTTTCTGTTGAGTAGAGGAGTTTATATGCTACAACTTCCCTGAGCAAATGCAGTGGAATTCTGTCATTTTGCCTTCAGTGAGCAGTGAATCCTGAATGAATGGAATAGGATACAGCAAGATGAACTTTGTGGGTATTTAAATCATGTATTTTGAACAAAAATGCTGGCTTGCTTCAGTTTTTCTTGTTGCAAAAATGAGTCACAGCAGGAAGAAATGTGGGCAAGGGCTGATTACATGTGTTCTGTGGACATGACTGTTCTCTCGGGAAGGTGGCAGGAATGTGAGCGTCACAGAGAAAAAGGTTCAGTAAGTAAAGATTATACTTAAAATTGAACCAGTTATACATCTGACTGTAATTTTTTGAGTACCCTAATACAGGCAGTAAGGAAATAAATGCAAAGCAATCACGTGTGCTGTGGATGGAGGCAGAGATCTCAAGCAGTGCTGTGTTTTCACTTGCAGAGTGTTGAGCTGGAGGCCCAGCGCTGCCGTGGGGCTGAGATGGATTCCATGCTGGCAGAGAAGGAGAAGAGATTGGCTGAAAGGGATGCTTATATCATGGATTTACAGATGGCCTGTGGCTCCAGTGGGGCTGCCAATGAAATACCCCTGCCCAGTGAAGAATTGAAGGTATATCAGCACCTCAGATATAAACTCTCCATAGTGGTTTCAAGGAATTGGTGAATTCTGGTGCCTCTCTGAAGCACAAATCCTCTGCAATTAATTCGTGAGAATAAAAATTCTTCACTGATTAGTTTCATTTATATTTACTTATAGTTTCATTTATCTTCATTCTGTTGTCATTACCGCTTACACCAATTAGTAGCAACTTCAGAATATGCTGAGAAATTTAATTCCAATTAAAACCCAACCTCAGTTTTGAGTTTAATGTTGCTCTAACTGAGGGAAGGGCTTCATGAGTGCTCTATTTTTTTTTTTTTGGTGTCTATTCTGCTAATTGTCTTCTGGTTTGCAATTTAAAGAATCAGCTAGCAGCTAAAGAGTCATCACTGCAAAGCATGGAGATTCTAGTTCAGAACCTTACCAAGAAGGTTGTAGACAGTGAAGAAAAATGTAGCTTGTTCCAGGAACAGATTGAGAGCCTTAAAAATATTCAAAGCACGGAGAGAGAGTTTTTCCAAGGAAAAGAAGCCTCACATATGAAAAATGTAAGTAAACATATTGTAAAAATATTGATTATTTTTTGTGAGAGAAGTTGTGTCTTGGCTGTAGTGTTTAGGAAATTATATTTTTCATTCTAGATAATTTTTGATTAATGATCTATATAGTGTTCAGATGAAATTGTTAAATAATACTTAAAAATAAAAAAAAAAAAAAAGTGGAGCTAGGGAGCATGTTACCCACTCCTTGATGTTACCAGGCTCTTCTACCTCCTTTGGAAGTTAAATCTCAGATTTTAATGTGATATGTGTGTTTTCTCAGCATTTGAGTTCTACCACATATGAAATTACTCATCTCAGTGTTTCCCACATCACTTGATGTCTGAGTTTATTTTATCTGTAACAAAAATGTTACCTTTGATCCTGAGCAGACCACACCTGTTCAGCAGCACACAGGGAATTAGTTTGGATCCAGGAGAGAGAGGAGAAGACAGACAGCTGAGGCTGTAAAAGCCATGTTGGGGAGCAGATGTCACTCAGATACAAATTTGGGTAGGACATAGGTGAATTTATTCAAAATGTCATTAGCAAGATAAGAGGACTGAAAAACACCTTGGAAGTAGAAAACAGATTTTTGAGGAGCAGACGACTGAGTTTCAAAGCTGCCATTTGGGCTTAATTGATAGAAAGTTGCTAGAAATGAACGTGATATTTGACTATTTAGCGTATTTACTGTTAACTGGAAGTAATATTTAGGCTTAAATGGAATCCATTATCTTGCAGTGCCTTTAGTTAGACAATGCAGTGTACTTTTACTTACAAAAAGGACTTATAAACATTTACTTTTAAAAGTTTGCTTACACCTTTGTGGTCTGGTTTCATATTTACTTACTTTCTTCGTGGTTTTAGGTACGTGTGCTTCAGAAAATCATCCAGGAGAAACAAAAGGAGCTGGAAGCACAGAGAGAAAAGCATGAGCAGGAGCTCTTTAGATTAGCTGCTAAATCTGATGCAAGCGCTGACCTAGAACAGGTTTGTTGCTTTGGAAACTCAGTAGCTTGAATTTGGAATCATGGAATTACTGAACTGTGACACAGTTCAGATGTCTGGCTGGGAAAATAAAAATCAGTCTTATTCATTCTCTTCTGAAAGTTTTAACTGCTTTATAAATTACTTGATTATTTAATTTAATTATTTTTTTCTAGCTCCTAAAGGCCTTGAAACAGAAACTCCATGAAAAAGAGGAGGTCATGCTTGGAAGGACACAGGTGATAGATGTCTTGCAAAAGGAACTGGATGACAAAGACCAGCAATTGAAAGTAAGAAATGGCATAAATGCACAACTAAATTCATCAAGTCATTTACAACCTCAAAAAGCTGTCTGGTTTTACATGAAGATTAGTTTAGGCAGTTCTCTGGGAGGCTTTGACTATTTGCTAGTAATGCAACTGTACTTATTGAGACAAATATTAATTCCAGTTGGGAAATTACCTTAAAGGAGAGTTAAAGTCCATAAAGTATAAGACTGTCAGCTCTCACTCTTACTTTGTCTTGATAATTTTGGGAACCCCCCACTTAGGGAAGACTTTGCTGTCAAAAGTTTTCAGTTTCTCTAGTTAGTGACTGCAGTGAGCCCCAAAACTGAGGCTTTTTGTTCCTGCCAAAGACGGTGTTTTGCTAGTTTTGTGCCTTTCCTTTTGCTGTGTTGCAAAAGCAATACCTGATCAAGGTTCTTTGTGTTGAAGCACCTGCCATGATCTCTCGTTTTAACCTCTGAATGATGCTGCTTCAGTTCAACAGTGTAGAAAGAGGATGTTGCGGTCTCTCAGCTAAAACAGGCACATTATGGCCTGTCTGGAGTGCCAGGTCCAGCACTTCAGCCTTTTTCCTTTTTCTTCAGTATTTCATAGAACCAAACATTCTTTTTTATTACATTTTCACCTATGGGAGAGGTTGCATGTGGTGCACTTAAATAGTGATGCCATTTAGATGAAGTTTTTTGAAAGTTAAAGCTGAGAAGCTTTTGTAGTAGAGCCAAGTTACCAACGGTAGCCCTAATTTTTGATTGTAATGTATGTAGGAATACCAGTATAATGTTTGACAGTGGTAGCAAAAATACTTTGCATTTAAATATAAATGTTTTTGTGTGTTGTGTTTATTTTTTAACAGGAGATTAATGAAAACCTGAAACGTCTCCTGTCTGAAAAAGAAAACCTCCAGTCTAAACTGGATGCTGAGAAACATGTAATGAGAGCCCAATTAAAAGACATGATGGAGAAACATGAGCTTGAAATGACAAAAGTTAAGGAGAAATATAATGCTGAACTGCATGAAATTCAAGAGAAACATGAAACTGAGCTGCAAGAGAAGGATCAGGCCCTGTTTCAGCTTCAGAAACAAGTGGCAGAATTGAGTGGGAGTGGACAGAGTAACTCCAAAGAAGCTAAAGATCTGGAATCTATAACCAAAGAGAAGATGGAAGATTTGGAAGGTATCCTTTTTAAACAGTTGTCGAATGGAAAGGGTTTCTTTGCCTCAGACTGTTGTGTATTTTAGGCCAATTCTGTACCTGTTGCAAGCAGAACTACATTAAATTTAGTGGAATATTATTGCCACACCAATTAAAGTATCTATGATCAAGTGCTCTAATAATGAGGATTAGAGGATCACCAAGACAATCACATGAGCTATAAATTTCTCACTACGTTTCTAATTGTTATATTTTTCTGTAAATGCCTTTTTCTTCTCTAAACTTCCAATTGCTAAAGGAATTAACATAGTTAATCTTTCTGCTGTTTTAAATAGTTTTAAATAATTTTAAATAATTTTTACTTCTTGTTTTTTAGTACAAGTGAAATTAAAAACAGAAGAGGCCAGCAAATCTGAAGCAAAGTTTCTGAAGATGAAGGCCTGGTCTAAATCAAGAATCAAACAGCTGGAGGATGAACTAAAAAATGTATGTGTAACTTTCTTTAGTACTCCATGTCTGTCTTAAACTACTGTGCTTAGAGATTTGATTGAAGAAAAGTAAAATATGGGATAAATAGAATATTAAAATAATTTACTTGAAGAATATATGAATAAATGTATAAAAATGGAATGGACAAAAAATGTTGATACAAGATGAAGTTTAAACAAAAATAGTACAAACTGATATTACCAGCATTCAAGAGTAAGTTTGTTAGAGATGAGCTACTTTATTGCACTTTAAATATTCCTAAAAAATAAAAAAAAGGTTGCATTGACTTCACTGTGCTTTTGCTGCATTTGAAAACCTGTAACTATTTTTTCTTTTAGTTTTCCTCAAAGAATAGTGATGTATCTGCGTTAAACAATCGTGTCTCAGAATTAGAAGTCGAAAATAAAGAACTGCAGTCAAAACTACAGTCGTTGTATGAAATCAGAACTCACAATGGTAAAAGAAAATCTTCTTTTTCTTTTTTCAGTTGATTCAAAGTAAAGAGACAAATGAATTTTCAGTTTCCAAGTGTATTTTTTTTTTTAAAAAACAGATTCTGAAGTAACTTCATGCAGTTTTTAACAATAGCAGACAGTGTTTTAAGTCAGAGTTTCAGCTCAGCTTTGCCTTCCCTAAATCTACCTGTGCATAATTCTTGTTGCATTCAGGCTTAGGCAGAATAGGTGTAAACTTTTCAGGAAGAGGCATCTTAGGAGGAGAAATGAGACCAAATATACCTGGAATATTTATCAGCATGTATACAGTAAACTTTTGAGAGCAGTGAGTTGTGAGTAAATTAAGAATTATCTTTCCTTTTGTAAGGATTTGAGAGGGAATTTTTGCTTAAAACCCCAGGTAGTTTAAAGTAGAGCTCTGTTATTAATATTGCATTTGCTCTGAACTTTCATTTTGAATATTTCTTTTAAATTTTCATCTTCCATTTAATTATGTGTCCTAATGAACCAAATTTATTATGTTTTTGTAGAGGAACTGCTGAAAAAGCTGGAGGTCTATGAAGAGCAGCAAAGGAAGCTACAGGCTGATCTCGATCAAGTTACAAAGAGAGCAGCTTCCCAGGTTAACTTGCAAATTGATTTGTACTGATTTGTACTGAGTTACTGATTAATGGTGCTAATTGGACTTTGAAAAGTGTCAGCTGGATTTTGGAGCTGAGAATTAATTTAGTGATAGATGGAACTGTCAGTGTCAGTAACTGTTCAATTGGATAACAAGATGACAGCTTTTGAATTACTTAAAAAGATTAATTTCTACCTCCTTTGCCATGTACCTTAAGTTACGTTTTTCCAAGCAGTTTCTATTTATTTAGTTATGTTTAACATGAGTCATCAAAGTGTGGCTGTTATTTTGTAGGCAAAATATTTTTGATACTATATGAAGTGTTGGGGCTTGTTTTTCACATAATCAGTGATAGCAATTATCACTTTCATAGATTTCTTTTATGCAAAGTGGTGAATTATAATGGCTTATCAGCTTAAAGTATTATTCACATTTGCAGTGGGGTTTGGTAAATATATTCTAATGCACAATTTCTCTTGTTAGGCCAGTGAATCAGGTAGTGTGGATGAATTGCAGAGTCAGCTCTTGGAATGGCAGGAAAGTGTCCCAGAGTCAGAGGAGTCCCAGGATCAAGTCAGAGAAGAGAAATCTGCCATGGCCTTGAGGATGGCTCAGATTGAGGAGGAGAGAGAAGGTGAATTGTTTTATTTACAGTACGATAATCATGTTTTTATATATATGTACGTGTGTGTCTGCTGAGCTTCAGGCTGAATTGATAGCACACCACCATGACTCATTTCTGTAGTCATATAATTTGTATAGTTAGTGAAATTGCTTAAATTTGCAATTTCTACTTTTTCTTGTTTCTTTGAGTTTGTTTTTCATACATTCGTCTTTTTTTGAATAATTTTTATGAGTAGTTGTGCTTGTTCTGTTTGCCATCTGAGCTGCTGCTCTGTAAGACTCCTTGAACTGACCTCAAAAGCTTACAGTCAGCATATGATAAATAATAAAAGTGGTAAAAAAAACTTTAATAAAGAGTTCCCCATTGAAATATTAAAGCTGCCTGCCTAGAGCAGCTGATGAAGGTGTGGGGGACTGTAGTGTTGGTTCGAATTTGATGAATGAAGGTGTTGCTTTAGCAAAAATGTGCTTGAGATGGAGTTTCTCTTTAAGAAATTCCTTACTAATTATATTTAGAATATTCTATAATCTGTTAATAAGTGTCACTTGTATAGACCAGCTGAATAACATTAACTGGCTGTGGCTTGGAGCTAGTTAAAAATATTAAATTACTTACAAAAATAACATTTCAAGTAATGTCAGGTTTTATAGTTTGTTAAATTATGAATTAATCAGGTGATGAGAAACTGAAGCAGTTTCTATTAAAACTTATAAGTCTGGTTAAATTTCAGGTAGTTTTTACTGTTTTTTCCATGCCAGCTGGGTACTATATTGTAATTTTTGTCCTCTGAGTTAACTGTATGGGGATTAATGACAAATTTTAATGCACAGGGCCTACCTACCATCATAATTACTGCAGTTAGTTAATTTGAGCCTTCTCTTTTTAATTGCAAATTGGTCATGGAAATGGAAAATAATTGAAGTTCAGTGTGTAAGCACAGAAATGTTTTCAGGATCACGACTCTTCTTTTTGAGGGATTTTGTCATGTGATGCTTTGGGATTGAAAGAGAGTAATATCCCTCCATTAAATCTACTTGTGGTGCCTACAGAGCCACATGCAACATTAATAACAGTTGTAAAATTTCCTCTACCTCAGTCCAGGTTTAATTTTACATTTTTTTTTTTTTTTCCCCTTGGGATGAGCATGACCTTTCTGTTTCTTTTTTTCCTGCCGTTCCTGGTGAGCCCTCAGCGTCCCTTCCCCCTCCACTCCTCCCTCTGCTGCGATTTGGGCAGCCAGGGACAACAGTTTCCCATCAGTTTTGTGCATGCAGGTTCCTGCAGCAATGGCAATTGTAATGTTCTGCTGCTGATTTCTTCTTTTTTGGCTTTTTTGGGAGAAAATCGCCAGCAGTACCTTATAAAATTTGCCATTGATGGTATGTGGTTCTTAGCAACACGTTGTAACAAGTGCTGGGTTTTAACTTCAGTTTCTCCTGCCTTGCAATACCTGTTTCTTCTTTTGCATTAACCAGATCATCTCCATATTTCTTTGTGGGAACAGCTGACTCCATATTTATATATTATCCATGTTGTATTTCTTGGCTTGCCACAAGTGGTTGTGACTAAGAATGAAAATCACTTCAATATTTTTGGTAGTACTTGAAATCCAGTAATATTTTAAAAAAACCCTCACATAATTATATTCCCTTCCATAAATAGCAGAACTTGGCTGCATTAATATTAGTTACCAATAATTTAAGCAATATATAACCCCACTACTCATGCCATCATGGTCTGTGACAATTTGCCATATATGACAGTTGTCTCTTTTGGGCTGAATATGTGGGGAGCTGCAAAAGCTTAAAGGATGACAATATTAGTTACATTTATAAATCTGGGGCTTGTTTCCTCTGCAGATCACCAAAGATTGTGCTACTTAGCATGAATAGTGACACAAGGAAATACAGACACATCATTAGTTAGTTTAAATGCACTGTGTATCTGAAAAAAGTTATTCTAGAGATTTTTCAGATTTTTTTAATGTAATTGCAAATGAAAAGCTCCCCCCTAAGCATCTACAAAACATTAGAAAATATATTTAATTACTAATGGTTGTTAAAGCAATGCTCAGTTTAACTGGAAATGTTTTAACAGTTGTCTGAGTGCTCTAAGTCATTCTAAAGCTCCAATTTCTAGCCTTTCATTTTCATGTAACAATGGTAATTTTGGTTTTTTCATTATCAGATACTTAGGAACCTAAATATTTTGGATTCCTAAATGACCGTGTCAAAGAAGGGGGTTAAATTCTTATCTGGAATAATGTTTATTCCTTGAACTCTTTCACTGAGAACTCTTGTAAGCAGAGGTTTAAGACCTGTGGTCAACATTTGGCATTTTTTTTACAGCTTTGAAAAAGTATAAAAAAGTGTAGAAGCTGAAAAATAAACAAAGGTGTGTAAAACAAATGCTGATAAATTGACAGTGCAAGAAGCCAAAGTGTAATTGAAATCAGAAGTGTAATCCAGTTTATCAACCCCACTTTAAAAGAATCATTAATTTTTTTCTTTAACTTTTTTCCACTAATCTTTTCTGACGACACATTAGGTGTGTCATTTTGAAATATTACAGGAAGAATTTAAATCTATCAGGTGTTAGAGAATTGTGTGGTAATGAAATTCGTGGGATAAGTAATCCTTGGACAACTCAATTCAGAGCAGAGTATTCCTGATAGGCCCGAATCTCCAAATAGTTTCACAATTGCATCGACATAAGTTCCATGAATTTTGCATGCTGTGAGCACAACTGTGGATTGATGTGGTTAAAATCAAAGCCAAATTTGTAATTATCTAATTAATTTTCCTTTAAGTATGGAGCCACCTTTACTTTCCCTTCTTTTCCCTGGCTGTTGTGTTTTGTCTGCTTCGCATGAAACGTCCATTTCCTAATCTATTCCCCCAAATATGTTTTGTTGTGTCACAAAACAGATGGGAATGTCCTTTAAATGACAAATCATTTCTAACAATGAACAGGATGCATACCTAAACTTTCATATTCTCAGTTTATTCAGTGTGTTTATTTTACTAGTGATTCTGTATTTGTCTTAAAAAGAGTGATGTAACTAATTTGTGATAAGGTGGTTTGATACCAGTTTGCAGTGTAACACGTGCTTGTGACTCCCTCAAATTATCTGGCTTTATAGCTCATACTAAAATCAAAGTTGGAAGGGACACGTCATTTCTATAAAAATTAATGTGATTGTTCAGATTATGCAGTCACCAGCTGAAAAAACTCTGGTTTTTATCACACAAATATATTTTAACCTGGTAAATTGAATTGAGGTGGAATTTGGCATTTTAATTTTTTTTTTGTGTATTGCTATAACCTCACCCTTTCCACTCTCCTGTGTAAAGTCTTCATTTAGAGCTGGTGAAGAAGTGAAGTTAGACTTCAGTTTGCTTCTCCTTAGTGAGATACTCAGACTTTATGTTCTACACAGCAATGTTGGAGGGAAATCACAAGGTGAACGCAGTGGATTTTAATCTTTAATCTTCCTGTCAGTCATTTGTAGGGTCTTCACCCTGTCCCTGGTCTCTCTTCATGTAGTAGTGTCTGATATAAATGTAAATGCTTTCCTGTGGCACAAAACTGATTGAGGATGACTGGTTCTTTCCTGGCTGCTCCAATCCAGCCATAGTCTCAGGGCAGCAGGAGCTGGAGGAGGAACTGGCCGCAGCTCAAGGAATGGGCAGGCTGCAGCAACCCAGGAGGAAAGGCAGCCAGACCAGCAGGAAGCTTCAGGTGGGTGAAAAGAATTAAGTTTATTTTTACTTGTATGTTCATAAAAATATGGGGAGTGATGTTATTTATGTGGTGCTTTAGACTTCAAAACATCAAAGGCTTTTTTGGTTTAGATACAATCTCTTGGTGGAGCTCGATTGAATGATTAGTACCTGTCCATTTAGGTGGATTTCTAGGCAGTTGGTGCGGTAACTTGCACAAAAAATGATAACTTTTGTAAGAATTAGGATGTCATTGTCACATCAACATATTGGAAGAATAATTTTATGATTAGTTAACTATAATATCTTTAGAAATCAGGGGACCAATTAAGGTATCCAAACATAGTTATCCATTGCCCTCTCAGATGCCTGAGGGTATTTTTAAAAGCTGGCAGATACCTTAAAAAACCTGTGGGAGACTTGGCTTTTCTGGAAATAATAGCTCCAATGTCCACAGTAATCCCCTATATTTGCATTTAGGCACCTGAATTGCTTGCTGAGTTTTAGGCCTTTTAATTGAAACTATGCTTTTAGTAACAGAACAGTTTTACCCTTGCTGCATTTCTCCTTTAAATTCAACTTCATTCTCATGTTTTATGTGTAGGAAGAATACAACTTCGATGGCAAACAATGCTTTCAGGAGCTGAATGTCACCTTGGACAGCACCGACTCAGCTGAAGGAGAGAACATGGGAGGTTGGTGGCCAGAGTACCCTTCACCTAATGCAGGTGTGACAGCGACTAGACAGTTTATTAAAGCATGCACACAGCATCTGTATTTTGTGTCCACTTTTGTTTTCAAATTCAACTAACAGCCCATTTGTGGTGTATTCTAATCTTTGTTGAATTTTTTTGGCTTGTGTTTTCTCCCGTTTCATTTCAAAGCATGTGCGTGCTGGATGAACTGCCTAGTTCTGCTTCAGTAGTAGCGTATGGATCTGGCTGGACACTGGGATTGGATGAGCCTTGGTGCCCATCAAATATCCTCTGTGGCAAGATCATGGGTTTTTTTAAGTTATGAGTCTTGTACCTGTGAATGTGTTCCCAGTTTATATCACACTTATGTTGCAAACTGGAATTGCATCCCGTTGCTGTTTGCTTTTCATCCAAAACCACAATTCTTGATTTTTAATGCTGATGTTTTTATATCAGTGGTAAAGGTTGCAAATACATCTCATTGTTAAGATGGAATAGGTTCATTAACAAATTTTGATACACACCAGTTTAGTAATGATTACTTAAGATCTGATCCTGCAAGTACCTGATTAACTTGTGGTTTAAGTAACATGAGCCACACTATTGATTGAACCACAGTAGTTGTGTCTCAATATAACAAGAATATTCCTTCTCTGAGTTCTTGAGGTCTGCAACTCTTTTGGTTTTTCAACAGTTAAGGGTACTTTTGCCATCTAAATTTTGGAAATGCAGGGCCTCAGGCATTTCCACGAGAAATGGGTGAGGTCTGAGTGTGCCCAGCACTGGTGAGAATCATGAACAAAAAGCTGAAACCATTTCTAGACTTCAGGGATTTTAGTTGACTTCTCTTGAAATAATTTTTCTCCTTTGACTTGAGTAGGTTTACGGAGTGTGGTGGAAGAGTTGGAATTGGAAAGGAATCAACTGCAGGAACAAATTCTGTTTCTGGAAGAGCGTTGTCAGGATTTGGAAGAGAGATTTCAACTTCAAGGTAGAATGGAGGCTCTTCAGGTGAGCTTTTGAGTTGTGTAAACCTGATGATTCTAGAGGATCATTTTACTCTCAGTTTATGTTCTTACAGTCATAGCCTACAGTATGACAAACATCAATTTGCAGCTAACAAAAATGGCTGAAGCCCAATTTATACTCATAATTACGTTGGTAGAGAGTGTACACTTACTACATTATGCTCTGAAGTTGAAGCTGGTTGCTTCTGTTCAGCTCATGGAGAAACATGTTTAGGATTAAGCTTTTTTATTTGTTGTAGAAACATAGGAAAAGACTACATAATTTTCATTATTCTTTGTGGAGGCCTTTGTCAGAAGGTCCAGAATCAGATTTTGTTACTCCCTCTTCTTTACGTCCCTCAAGTTTCTTTTCCATGAGTGTGTATGTCGTATTTATATATATATATATATATATATATGCACATTTATAGAAAAGAAACTGTATAGAAAAATAATAATTGAATATTTTTATATATATATACAATCTAAATTTCCAATATTAGACATATATTTATATTGTAAAATTATTCAGTGAAGACCCCACAAAGTTTTTTTCAAAGTAAGACTTAATATTGCCTGACTGACAAATTACAATGATAATTTGTGAACTTTTTTCACTAAATGACACATCTGATCTCTGACTCAACCACTTGGTGCATTACTCATAGTTCTTTATGAGTATGTATATAAAAAAATATGATTTTCAAGTGAAAGACAAGCTTATATTAATTATTACTTGAGAATCTTGTAACCAAGCCTTTCAATACAGGTAACGTTTGGTGTAGAGGAAGAAGGGCAGCTATTGAGGGCTGTACAGGTGTGTTCTGCCTCCTCCAAAATGCCGCCTTGTTTTCATGACTGGTGACAAGTGTGCCATGTTTGTCCTATTTGCTGTTGGTTCTGGATGTGTTTTGCTTTTGGTTTTTTGATTGCTGTTGAACAATTCCTTTAATTTTTTTTTTTTTTTGTGGTTTTAGTTTTGAATTGGTGCAGTGGATCTGACTAGAGTAGGAGATTTGTACTGTGTTTAAAAAGCCAGAAGAGCTGTGCGGATGTTAATTTTCTCTTCATTATGAATAATCTTCGTTACTGTTTTGTTGCAGAATGAAAATGAACGTTTGCAAACTCAACTCACCCAATTACGCAACCAACAAATGCGAGATGTGGAGAAGCATCAAATTCTCATCTCTGGCTTGAATGAGCAGCTTAAAGGGTAAAATGAAGGTTCTTTACAACTCCAAGCATGATTAGCTTGCTTTTAAACTTCTAATGAGGAGTATAATCACTTAAAACACTTGAAAAAGAGTTCATTGATTCATGTTTCTGTTTGCAATGATGTTATTTTTGTATTTGCAAGTTGTTTTCAGTCATAATATTTTTGTACTTGAAAGTTTAAATGGAAAGTATAAAAATAATTACTCTCTTAGAAAAACAGTTTGGGGCTGGTAAGTCTAAAAAAACTTAAGCTTTGTTTTCAAAATGCCTAAATATTTTCTTCTTAGATTAAGTGACAGAAATAGTTTCCTTGAGAATTCACTTGGAGAAAAAGAACAGAAACTGTTGAGCACAACAGAAAAAGTGGAGCAAATTGAAGTTTTGAGGAAACTGCTTCAAGAAAAGGATCTTCTCAACAAAGAGCTTGGTGAAAAGTTTGTACATACTGAGCAAAAAGTAAGTTAAATTTATTAGCATTTCATTTATTAAAACTAATGAGCTTTAGCCATAACTTTGTTTTCCCAATCTGAAGGTTCTGCTGTGTTTTTGCAGTTTTGTTCATTTAAATTTTTGCTCTAAGTTTGGTGTAAGGATTTCTTAGACCCCGCACAGCTTTGCATGAAAGTATTTACATTTTATTGGGGTGATAAGTTATCATGGTTTATTAACTTCAAAGTATAAACTTCTCTGTTGTGTAAACTCAATATTATAACTGGTGACATCAGAATTTTAATATAATTCTGTTTATTTCTATCGCATGAATTTTTCTTTTTGATGCTAAGCTGAATGAAGCCTTAAAGAAATGCAGCGTGTATGAAGTGGAGAACACTGAGCAGAAAACAGTCATCAGTGATCTCACAGAAAAAGTTGCTACACTGAAAGAAAAGGTAACTCCTAAAAATAAAGTAAGAGAAGAAATGTTATATTTTTTTGTCATGGCCTACTTAAATGTCAACAGAAGTAACAGCATTAACTGCTTTAAATTTTATACACTGAACCTTCTGTATGCAAAAACAATCTAAAGAATAACGTGGTTACCTTGTGATGTTACAGTTTGGTACAGGTTGTTACTTTAAGTACTTGATCTACACTCAGAATGTAACTTCTGTTGTCCCTCTAACATGTTTGAAATATTCTTGTAACATTATTTTCTTGATGTTTAGACCTTGAAACAAGACAGTGTGGTGGAGTCAATGCAGCTGGATCTGGACCAGACCAATGAAGAGCTTGACAAACTGAATTCAAGCCATTTAGAGGAAAGATCTCAGCTCATTCAGGATCTCCAGAAACGTGAAAGAGAAATTGATAATCTTAAAGAGGCACTGGCAGAAAAAGACAGGGAGATGTCTGTCCTGTCTGTGAACATGGCAGAATATTCTGAGCAGGTTATGATCCTGAAGCACCAAGTGCAATGCAAAGAGGAGGAATTGCGAGGGATGGAAGAGACTTTGTCAAAGGCTGAGAGGGAAACTCATTTACTGAAGGAAGTACAAACAGCTGATGTGAGAGATGCAAGTGTGAAGATCTCTGTCCTTTCTGAGCAGAGTAACACAATGAGACGAGAGCTGGAGAGAGTTAGAGCTGAGAATGAGGCTAAAACCAAAGAGTATGAGGAATTAATAAGACAAAGCACTGAGAACAGCATGACAATTAAGGATCTCCGAGCTGAAATTAAGGCCAACAGTGTCGCTTACAATAACAAACTGGCAGAGTGTGAGTCACAAATTACTTTGCTGAAAGAACAGATTAGTAAATCATCTGAAAAACTACAAGAAACTGAGGATAAACAAAGAAAAGAAACTGAGTATTTGAAATCTCAGCTTGAGGAAAATGATGCTCTGAAGGAAAAATGGAATAATTTGCTTAAGGAGAAAGAGAGTAAAGCAGAGACACTTGAAAATGAGTTAAAATCACTTAAAGATTCATACAACAAACTGGGTTTGGAAAATGCTAAAAAAGATGAAGAGTTGTCTGAGTTATCCAGGAAACTTGTAGAACATACTGAACATCAGGAAACAGTAAAAAAAGAATTGCAAGAGAAACAAGAGCTTGTTATTTCCTTAGAGCAGAAACTTGGGGTTTTGGAGCAGCAAAATGAAGAAACTAAACTTAAATTAACTGGAGATCTGAAAGCCAAAGAGATGTGTTGCAAAGAACTTAATAACCAATTAAATGAAATACATAAACAAATTAACAAACTGCAAATAGAGACACAGGAGAAAACTTCAGCTAATAACCAATTACAGGCAGATCTTGAAGGGAAACAAGGAAAATTGGCAGAGCAAATGAAAGCAAATGAACACCTGAAAAAAAGTATAGATACCATGGAAAAAGAGAAGGAGCAGCTCATCAGAGAAAATGAGAATTTATCCAAACTCCTGGATGTAAAAGAGTGTGAATTATTAAAGAAAACCCAGGCTGTGGCAGAAATAGAGAACAAGTTGTCTGTTAGCACTGCTGAGTACGAAAAAACACTCTCAGCACTAAATTGTGATAAAAACACTCTGGCAAAAGAGATTGAACAACTTTCAGCAGCTGCTGAGCAAAAGGAAAGTTCAGTTGTGGAACAGCTGCAGAAGAAAACAAAGGAATGTGATGTGCTGGCTGAGCACTTGTCTGAAAGCAAGGACCAGACCCAACAGTTGCATGAACAAGTGCAATCACTGCTCATTCAGCTGCAGGATATTAGAGGTGAAGAAATAAAGAAAGGAGAAATGTTAAATAATAAATTATCTGAATGCAGTGACCTAATCCAAGAGCTCAGCCAAAGTAAGGAGCAGAATTTACTCCTGCAGGAACAAATTCAAAGCATAACTTTGGATTTTGAAACTGCAAACAGGTCACTAGAAGAGAAAAACCTTCAAAATGATTTGTTGTGTGAGGAAATAGAAGAGACCAAGCTTTGTGTTGTAGAGTTGCAGGGTGAAATTAAAAATCTTCAAGATGAAAAGACAAATCTGTCTCAGTTGGTAGAGGAAAGAGACCTGGCTGTCAAAAATCAGGGTTCAGAACTTGAGAAATTCCAGACGCAAGTTTCTGAAAAAATGGAGGAAAACAGAGTGTTAAATAATCAGCTCCAGCTATTAAGCAAAGAAGTGGAGGTGCTTAGGCATGAAAAAGAGAACTTTTCAATCTTATTAAATGAGAAATCATGTGAATGTGAATTCCTTCAGTCTGAAATTACTTCAGCAAAGCACCAAGCACAAACAGCAGCTCTAGAAAATGAAAAATTGAAAGCAGACATTGAAACAGTTAATGTTACAGCAATGAAAAAGTCAGAGGAAGTAGCTGCTTTAACTTCACACTTATCCCAACAGAGTCATAATATTTTAGCTCTCAAGGACCAAATTGATGGCCTGTTGATTGAGAAAGAAAACTTAAAAATGGCCTTTGAAGAAAAAGAAACTCTCCTTTCTGAAAAGGAGGCTTTGATTAAGCAAATGAAAGACAGTAAAGTGGCAGGAGAAGGGCAATACATGCAAATCATTTCAGATCTGCAAAACCAAATACAAACCCTAGGTTTTGAAACTAGCCAGCTCAGAAACACAGTGCAGGAAAAGGAAAATGAATTTAAGAGGCAAGCCCAAGAATTAAAGTTATTAAAAGATAAATCTGAAGAGTCTGATGTACTTAGGATTCAACTGTCTGAGAATATGGAGGTTATTTCTGACCTTCAGAGTCAGCTTAAAAACCTGACAGAACAGTCATCCCAGTTGAACGATTCAATTGTACAGAAAGATGCATCTTTAAAGCAAAAAGTAGATGAATACATCAATTTAAAAACACAGTTTTCTGAGGTACAGGAATCTTCTGTTTTGCAGGAGAAACAATTACAGCTTTTAGCCTCTGAAACAGAACAGTTAAAAGTACTTGTTTCAGAAAAAGAATCAGCCATCAACAATATTTCAGTATTCAGTGAGAATTTAAAGGTGCAACTTCAAGAGAAAGAGATTGAATGTGATGTCTTAAAGAAACAGGTGGTGGAGCTGGAGGAAGTGAGAGTGAATTTCCAAAGAGAAATACAGCAGCAGAAGAATGTAATAATTGAGATGGACCAGTCCTTATCAGAAAAGGAATCCTCTCTTATGGAAAATGAAAGTCTCCTCAAAACTCTGGAGGAGAAAGCAAAGAAAGATGAAGAGAAAACAAATTTAATTTCTCAGCTCCAAAATCAGGTACATGAACTAACACAGGAACTACAAAAATCTAAAGAACTACTCCACGAGAAAGAAAACACCGTTTTATCTCTTCAGGAGAACATTGAAGGACAGAATGAACTGAGAACTGAGTTGAACATGGCTCTTGGGAAAAAAGAAGAAGTTATTGCTGGACTCCTTAATTCCTTAAAGGAGAAAGATGCCAGGGTGCAGTTGGCAGAGAGCAATGTTAATGCTCTTTCCAGTGAGATTGAGGTTCTCAGAGAAAAATTAGAGAAAAGTGCAACAGCCATGAAAAACTTCACTGAGGAATTTCAGGAAAAGAATGAGAAGCTTGATATTAATCAGAAAAAAATTGATTCATTGACTGTTGAACTTGACTTTCTCAAAAATGAGCACCAAAAAGCACTAGACCGAATAAACACACGGGAACAAGAACTGCAGCAGAAAGAATTGGCTCTGGAGTCTCTGCGTGTGAAGTACACTGAGCAGGCAGAGAACTTGGAAAGTTTGAGGTTAGAGTTGGACAACCTAAATTCCAAATCATCTCAAGACTGCCATGACAATGTGGTTTTAATAAACAGTCTCCAGTGCCAGGTGGAGTCTTTAGAGAAAGAAAAAAATCTGTTACAAGAAGATGTTGGTAAACTGATGGCTGAAAACACGCAGCTTGGGGCATCTCAGAGTGATCTGCAAAAGAAATTGGAAGAGCTCCAGGAAATCCAGGAAAAACTAGAAACCAGTGAGCATTACTCAAGAATGCAGATTGATGCTGTCAAACTGCATATGAAGACTGAAAAAGAGAAGTTACAGATGCAGGTTAGTGTGAAGGGTGAAGAACTTTCAAAATTAGAACTTAAGTGTGAAACTCTAGAACAAAGTCTGCTTGAGTCAGAAAACAAATGGGTGACAGAACTTGATAGGGCAAATTTGCAGAATAATAATCTTACTGAGCAAGTGAGCAGTTTAGAAAGTGAAATGAAATCAAAGGATAGCAAAATCCAGTCTTTGCAGCAAGAGCTGGATCTTATAAAAGAGAAATTAACTCAAAGCTTGTCTCCATTACTTAGTAGTAGGCTTTTATGCATGGAAAAAAACGCACAGACTTCAGATTCTGAACTGAAGCCAACTGATAGTAAAACTCAGCTGGAAAAATTCTCTGCTCTGATAAATTCGATTCTGAGCAAAGAAACAGAAGGAGAGCAACTGCAACTCCTGCTTTTAGAAAAACAGAAAGAAATAGACACCATGAAAGAGGAATTAAAAAGTATGGAGTCGCTTCAGAAGCAGAAGGAGGTGCTGCAGAACGACATGGAAAAGATGAAGGGGGAATACACATCTGAAATGGAATGTCTGTCCAAAGAAATGCTCACACTCAAGGAAACATTATATGAACAACAATCTCTCTTGAAAGAAAGGGAAGAGTCCTTTGCAGAAATAAATAAGCAGGTTGAATTTCTGCAAGACAAGATAAATAAATCAGAAAAAATAATAAGAGCCAGTCAAGAAAAGCTGCAGATTGAAGGTAAAGAAGTAGCAAGTCTCCTTGAAGAAGTGGAGGAAAAAGATCAACTCATCAAAAACTTAACTTCCCAGGTAAATCAGCAGAAGGATTTAATTTCTGGTCTGAGCCAGCAACTGAAGGAAAAAGACAGTTCTGTTACTCAGGTCATGGAATCATTGTCTAATGAAATGCTGAATTTCTCTGAAGAGAAAAATGCATTAAATGCCAAACTGCAAGACCTTGAAGCTGTTCATAAGAGTTCTGTGGCAGAGCTAAACCAAGTGCTGCAGGAACTTGAGGTTTGCAAGAAAGAACTGGACCATAATCAGGTTCTGTTAAACAGTAGAGAAGCTGAGTTTAAGGATTTAATGAGTGAAAAAGAGGAGATGCAGTTTAACCTCGAGAAAATAGGCAAGGAAAAAGAGAACCTGAAAAAGAAACTTCAAGCAGCGCTGATAGTAAGAAGAGATCTAATGCAAAAAGTTGGAAAACTAGAGAAGAGTGGACAGGAAGAACTAGAAAAAGAGCAAAAAAAAGGAGAGGAGCTGTCAAAGAAAGTTAATGAGTTAACAGACAAATTAAAACTAACTGAAGGACAAAATAATGATTTTGAGTCTCATCTTGGCACTTTGAAGCAACAACTTCTAGAAAAAGATGCCAAAATAAGTGATTTAACTGAAATTTTATCTTCAAAAGCTTCTTATTTAGAGGAACTTCAGCATAATATCACAGAGCTAAATGATGTCATTGCTGAAAAACAAAATGTTTGTGAGCAGAACCTAAAATCTTTAGAGGAAAAGGACTGCAGGCTTGCTCACATGCAGTCTATGCTTGATGAAGAAGCAAGTGCATATGAAAAGGAACGTTCTCATCTGCTCTTAGCTCTTGAACAGGTGAAGTCTGAACTGAAGAAGAAGGAAGAATTGTCAAAGAATTCCAGTTTAGAAGAACCTGGTTTAAGTGCTGGGGACAGGAAGGAGTGTCTGGACCCCAACAATGATGTTGATGTCATGAGTCAATTAAAAAAAGAAAAAGAAGCTTTACAGAGGGAGCTTTTGGTCATGAAAGAAGATATGAAAAAAATTCAGCAAGAAAGGGAAGAGCACAGGAAACTTGCAAGAGATTTTGAGGAACAAAAAACCCACCTTGAGCAGCTCAAACAAGAACATTCAGTGGCAAGTGAAGACACTGAGATAAAAGAGCTAAGAAGTGATTGTGCAAAGCTTGAGGAGGAAACAGCAATGTTAGGGAAAGAACTGAGAAAAATATTGCTGGAATTTGGTGATGAAAGAGAAGAAAAAGTCAACTTAGTGTCTTTGAGTCAGCAGGAGCAATGTCAGGGCAGCTTGTTGGAGGACATAAAGCAGCTACAGAGAAAGCTGAAAGTGTATGAGGCTGAAATTGTAGCTCTTAAGACAGTGCTTGAACATGTGAATAATGAGAAAGAAACACTTATTAAAAAAGGTGAGGACTACAAGCTGAGCCAGGAGGAACTGCAGAGGTCAAGAATTGAAGCTGAGAGGGAGGTTGCGGAAAAGAATAAGGAAATAGAAGCATTGAGGTGTTCACTTGCGGATTTCAAAGGTAAACTTGATTTGGAAAAGGAATTATTAAGCAAAGCTGTTAAGGAGGGCCAAGACGAAGCCCACAGTTACAAAACAGCACTGGAAGAAATGAAGAGTGAAAAAGAAGAACTTCTCAGCTGCTTAGAAAAGTCCAATTCGGAACTAATGAATATGAAAAAGGAGGTAGGACGTTTCAGTGAAGAAAACAAAAGACTCGTGCAAGAGCTGTGTCTGCTGCGTGAGAAGGCTGAGATGAGTAGACCTGTGGTGTCTGGCAAAGAGCTTAAGGAAGAAAATTATACTGAAAAGGAGTTGGGAGAGGTTGGTTCAGAAAGGAATTTCCTTGAAGGGAGGTTAGAAGGTAAAGACACCATTTTTCAACTATCAGAGGCTGATTACTCTGGGAAAACTAAACTGAGAGAAGCAACAGAATGTGAAATGCACAAACAAATGCAAATGATGGAAGAGCCACTGGGAAAACGTGCAAATATAAGTGATTCTAAACCCCAGGAGCAAAGAACTGTAACAGAAGATAAATCCAAAGAGCGCCTTCAGAGGAAACTACAGGCGGCTTTAATATCACGGAAAGAAGCCCTGAGAGAAAATAAATGTCTAAAAGAACAGCTTGATCAGCTGATGTTGGAAAAAGAAGAGCTGATGAACAAGGCAGGGATGCTGGAACACTTGTTAGAGCTTGGCAGAGAAAAGCAAAGTTCAAGTGCTGTTGCTCCCTTGGCTGGAGAGGAAAGCCTTGTCTCTGAAAACGCAAGGCTGCTGACGGAAAACGAGAACCTCAGCGCGGCATGTGAAAGTCTGAAATCCACCATGGAGTCTATAGTTCAGGAAAAAGAGGCCTTTTCTTTCCAGCTAAATACCTTAAAAGATTCTCAGACAGTTGAATTGACAGGCTGGAAGGCTAAACATAGCGAATTAAAACAGGAGTATGAATCACTTCTTCAGGCGTATGAGAATATCAGTAGTAAAGTGGCAGAGATGAGGCAAGTTATTGATCTCAGTAGGAAAGAGAAGCAGGAGGCTGTTCAAAGACTCAGGGAAGGAGAATCTGAGAAGGAGGCTCTGGAGAAGCATTTACAAAATCTCATGGATGAAAATGAGGTTATTAAGAGTCAACTGAAACAACTCAGTGAATCCAAGAAAATGGAAGTCGATGAATTGCAAAGCAAAGCAGAAAGGCAGATCCGTGAGCAGGAGGCAAGGATGCAAGAACACCAGGATCGCCTTCATGAGCTCACTGAGCAGAACCACCAGCTGATGGAGGAGAATGAGCAGCTGAAACAAACTTCTGAAAACTTAAAGCAGGCCTTAGAGAAAATCCAGAATGAAAATGATGTCCTTCATAATAACATCACTGTAACTAAAGCAGCCCTGGGAGAGCTCCAGGTTCAAATGGAAGTGTACCAAAATGATACACAATCTAAAATCAGTGATGCATTGTGTGAGAATGAATCACTGTTAAGGGACATTAAAGTGTTAAAGGATAAACTCTCTGAAAAAGAGCAAGATGTGCTTGTCCTAGAACAGGAAAGAAAATTAATTTCAGAAAAAGCACAAGAAACTGAAAAATCTTTGACCCATAAAAATCATTGTCTAACAAAGCTGGATATGGAGTGTAAAAGCCTTACACAAGAAATTGTTAGTCTAAATGAAAAAGTCAAGATTTTAGAGGATGATAAATGTCTGTTACAGGAAGAATTAGAAAATGTACAAGAAAGTTCTTACAAAGTAAAGAATGAGAGAGAATTTCTCGAGACAGAGTTGCTTAATCATGTTAAAAAAGTTGATCATCTTACTGATAGAATGAAATCAGCACAGGTGCAGAATAACTTGCTATTACAGCAGCTGGAAGAATTAAAGGCAGAAAAATGTCATGTGGTTAAAGAAAAGGAAGAACAGCAGCTCCATCTTGTAAAGATGTTTGAGGAGAAGGTGAAAAGTGCTCAGAGGGATAACAGCGGAACTAAAAGCAAAACAAAAGAATTGCAAGAACTCTTAAAAGAGAAACAACAGGAGATCAACCATTTGCAAAAGGATTCCATTAAGTTCCAGGAGCTGATCCTGGACTTGGAAAGATCTGTGAAAGTGTCACAGTCAAAAAGTGAAAAATTGGAAAAGGACTTAAATAATGCATCAGAAAAGCTGGTGAAATCAAATGAAGAAATCCATCATCTCAAGGGGAAGCTTTCAGCACAGATGGACTTGTTGAATCAGTCAAAGAATGAGGTGGACAGGCTTAAAGATGAGAATCTAAACTGGAGAAAAGAACTTAAGAAGAAGGAAGAAGAACTGCAACTCCAAAAGAGAGAATATGAGAGAGAATTGGAATTTCATCTTCAGCAACTAAAATTGCTTCACAAAAGGGAGTTTTCAAACCTAGAGGAACGGCACAGCGCCCTTGAGAGAGAAAAGGATCGGGCAGTTAGTGAGATCCAGGGTTTGCAAAAGGAAATCAGCACTAAAGACTCTCAAAACAAGCAACTCCAGGTGGATTTGAACGCAGCCTTGGCACGATTAGCTGCTTTTACAAAGTGTATGTCCTCTCTTCAGGATGACAGAGACAGGGTCATCACTGAGATGAAAACCTGGGAACTGCAGTTCAAAGAGGCCATCCAGAATAAGGAGAGACAGATAGAAGACAGTAATAAAAGAATAGTGGCCTTACAGGATGAATTGAAAGATAAAATGACTCAAATTCAAGAACTGAATATCAAATATTCTGTAGTAGAGGAAACAAAGGATGAACTGTACTTGAGGCAGAAATCTGTTGATATGCAGCGCTATGAAGAGCTCTGCAGGATAAAGGAAGAAAACACCTTTTTTTTTAACAGACAACAAGAGTTGGAGAGTGTTCTTCAGTCCAAAGAAGAAGCTTTGCAAGCACTCCTTAAAGAAAATAATTCTCTTAATCATCTCATAGAGAATAGTAAAAGCACAGGAAGAGAGATAAAAGCTCTGGAAAGTAATTTTACTAGACAGGAGCAGGAATTGCAAGAGCTTCTAGCAGAGAAGGAAAAGGTGAATGCTGAGTTGCAAAAGCAGATCACCATTTCTGAGCAAATGAAGGTCATGCTAAATAATAAAGACAAAGAAATTTCCGTACTCATTTCCTCAAAAGGCGATGAAATTTCGGATTATCTGGTTCAGGTACAAACTCAACACAGAAATCAAATCAAAGAATATGAACTTCAGTTAAGGTCTTTGCAAGTGGACAGACAACAAGCTGAGGAATCCTGTCAGAGGATGGAAAATGAGCTGAGAAATCTCCAGGTGAAAGCAGAAAAAGCAGAGCAAGAGAAGGCTGCCATTGCCAGTGAAATAGATGCCTTTAAAAAATCAATGTCATCTCTTCAGAATGATCGGGATGAGCTTTCTACCAAATACAGAGAGCTGGAGCATCTTCACCAGGATGTCTTAAATCAGAGGGACGGGCTTATAGTTGGCAATGCAAGTGAGAATAATGCTCTGAAGCAGGAATTAAGGATACTCCTCAATCGAATAGATGATCTGCATTCTGAAAATGCAATGCTGAGTGCACAGCTGATCAAGTACAGGGAAGATCTTAACCAGGTTTTGTCTCTGAAAGACCATCAGCTGAAAGACTTACTGAAGCAGAAATTAGATTGTATCAAAAGCCTTGAGCGTGAAAAATACGATCTTCAAAAGCAAATAAAAGAAATGCAGCTTTCCAGTGAACTGCAGAAGGGGACTGCTGTGTCTTTGGAACAGGAAAATAAAAAGTTGGCATCTAAAGTAAGTGATTTAGAATCTCTAGTTGCCTCCTTAAACAAAGAGAAACTTGTTTCTGAATCTGGAGAGAAACTGCTAAGTAGTGATAGTGTTCAGAAAAAAGAGTCAAGTGGACAGCATGGAGAAAACATTCAGAAAAAGGTTCAAGAACTCCAGAAATGCAGAGGCAGAAATGTAGGTGAGGAATCCAGCAGGACTCTTTTGACACCTCAGTATGGAGATAAACCTGGTGCTTTTGCAGAGAAGGTGCTGCTGGAAGCTCAGTCTCAAAACAATGAGCTGAGGTCCCAAAATGAGGCCTTTGGGAAGGCAATGACTGCTCTGCAGAATGACAGAGATCGAGTCCTAGAGGACTTGAAGGCACTTCAGAGCAAATACACAGCTGAGCTCAAGACTGAAAAAAGGAGAGGAGATGAACTTGAAGCTGAGTTGGAGGGGTTTAAATTACATCTCATCAGTATCCTTAAAGAAAATCCTCTTCTGCATTGGGGTGTCTTTGATGCTGCAGATAAAGTTACACTTGCTCAGATTGCTGGTGAAGTTGGAAGTCTCTGTAGGACTTTAGTCAGTCGGGACATGGAAGTGAGCAGGCTCTCATCTGAATGTGGAAATTATGTCCAGCAGATTGAAGCATTTTCCAAGGCTATGGCCAGTCTCCAGAATGACCGAGACAAATTGCTGCAGGAACTCAGCAATCAGAAGGTAACTTCTGAAACCAGACAGGGCACAGCCCGATATCCCATTGATTGCAACAGCATCAATGAGAGAAATTACTGTCAAAGTAATTTGGATGTGCCTCAGAGCAATAGGGTAACACTTTGGTAAGTTGTAAATAGCCACATCACTTTGTAGTTTTATTCTTTGTTCAGGGAATGCTTTGAGACATTGTGGATTCTGAAGTTTAACTTCGTAGGTTGTGTAAGTGCTATGATAGCACTGTGTGACTAAAGGTGTGTTTACAATTTTGGGGGTTAGTTATCCTGTTAAATGGAGCAAATGGGGAAAACCAACATTCTGTAATCAAACTTCAATCATAGAGTTTTCACTCCAGTTCACTAATGATGTTTATTAAATGTAGGCTAAGGAAGGAGCCAACCTTGCAGCTGTGGAAATAACAAAACTGAAGACCAAGGTTGATGATTTGGAGAAGGCACTGCATCAGACAAAAGCCTTCCAGGCAGAAACTGAGAGAGAGATCACATCATACCAGAATGAACTGGCTGGATTAAGGTATGAATTTTAAATTTAAATAGTGCATGTGGTTCTTGTTTAGAATTCATCACCGACTTCACAACCCAACATAAAACTGACACCCAGAACTAGCAGGAGGCAGGATAAGAATGTTTGTAATGTGTGACATCAACTTCCACGGGGTTGTCTTTGTGCACAGTTTTCCTTGTGTTTTTGTGTCTCTTGGTTTATGTGAAGTTTCAGAGTCTTATTTAAATGATTTCTGTTCTGTTGGTGGCTTGGGTATTTGGAACTACAGTAAAAGAGTATGCTTGGTGTGGAATAACAATAATTCTGTTTGAATTTGAGGCCATAGGCAGTATCCTGGTGCCTCACTTCATTTTACGGTCCATAGTGCAATTTCTAGATCTCTAATTATAAAGTCTTTGTAAGGTATTATTTATCTTACACTACAAGTTTTTAGGGGAGAGGATGTAGATCAAAAGGCCAGCCCCACATTTCTCTGTAAATGTGAGCAAATTATGAAATATTCAAACCTCATTTTAACTTGTAGACTTAACCAGTGAACAGCATAAATATATACATATATGCATATTACTCTTCCAAAGTTACCATTATTTATTACAGAAATAACAGTAAGTACAGCTTTATCCTTTTCATTGATTTGTATGTAGTGTATAATTCTTTAACATACAATATTTTATGTTCAGAATGGAAAAAACCCTCCTCCTCTCTGAGTCCCAGGCACTGAGAAATCAATGTCAGATCACAATTGCTGAGAAAGATCGACAGATTGCAGAGCTACAGAAGCTGCAACAAGACATGATTGTTATGAAATCAGTCCCTGCTGGCAGCAATTATCCAGTCAAGGTAAAGAAGTGGAATGCAGCAGGAATGTAGAATGGAATTTAGCAGTTTATTGTGTTGAATTTGCAGCCTCCAGAGAACTATGCGGCACGTGATAGCAATCTGGCAAGTGTTATCTTATGTTAGTTAAATCCAGAATATAACAGGAAGAAGTTAAAAAAAATTAAATGGATTTTTTTTTTTCAGATTTATTATGGCTGCAACCTATTTTTAGGGACATGCTTTTTAAGAGGATCAAGAGGTTGGTAGTTCATGCTGACAACAAATTTCACAATCTGTGTAGTTGGTGCAAAGAAATTTTAAAGATCTAATAAAATTCATTCTTCAGAGCCTAAATCAGTGTCTAATTCCTGCAGATTAGAGCAGGATCTAACTGGAGGGAGAAAGGGGAGATGTCCTAATGGAAGTGCTCTTGCCTTTCCCCTGAAGCAGCTGGAATTGGCTTCTGCCAGGAACAAAATCCTGGATTTAGAAAGGCAGCAGCTGACACCCAGTCTGGCAATTGCTGTCTGCTTTTTTAAACTGTCATTAAAGCTTCAAGGAAAGTGGTTTTTTAACTACTATTCTTATTTCCCTTTTCTGTGCCAAAGGAAGGAATTTTTAATTTCATTAGAACCAACATTTAGTTGGTCAGGTTTGAGTTTCATATGCTGTTCATTTTCTGTGATTAAAATCACAAGTAAGAGCTATTGAACAGTAATATCTGTGGGTTATGGAGTATGTGATAAAAATCTTTATTTCAGGATTATGTGGGTAAAAAGATTCCATAAAGCATTAGAGTTAAAGGAGGCCAAAGCTGTAAACTGATGATAAGATCAGGTGTGTTTTTCTTTTCAAAATGGACTCTTTCAGCTTAAAATCCATATTTCCAAACAACTGTTCTGCAGGTCATGAATACAAGACATTCTTAGCTTGAAAATAATTTTTGAATAATAATAATTTTTGAAAGGTGTTCTATATTAATATGTTTCTATTTTACCACCTTTCTTTGTTCCTCACACTACTTGCAAATTAAAAATTAAGTCAGGTTGCCTTTTCATTGTAGTTTTTTATTGTTTCTTAATGCAAATATTTAGGTTGAAAACACTATATATTAAAAAGACCCCATCTTCTACTTAAAGTGTCTTGCAAATGTGGTATTACATTGTGAGAAGGGTATTATATTGTGCAAAGGAAATTCTGTGTATTTAGTGTTGGAGTTGTGTATTATTTAGAGAACTCCTGTACCGTTTACCCTGAATATCCGAATATTTTTTAAGGCTTTAGAAACTGCCTCCCTTGCTGGAAGTGGAGATGCAGCAGAGGAAATCAAATGTGTCTTGGCTGAGAAGAATCAGCTGCAGAATGAGCTGCAGCGCTGCCTCCAGGAGATCCACCAGAAGGACCTGCATTTCCAGCAGATTAATTCCAAGGTAATTTAGAACAACAGCTCTGATCCTCAATAGCTCATGCAGTCTGGGCTGGGATCACACAGAAATATTGATAAATTGGTGGTGTCTTGCATGACTGACAGTTAATTTTACTTTAAAACTCAGATTCTTCCAAACAACCCAGTTGGGTCAGACTAGAAATTGCAAATTAAATGTCAGTATTATCTTCTGTCAAGCTCTTCTGACTTATTTGACAGAGAGGTTTATTTGACTCTGCATTCTAAAGCTGTTGATGAGGCATTGTTAAACTTCTACTCAAAATATTTTTCATTATAGACAGAAACAGGCTGGAACAAGATTCTTCCTTCTGGTTTGGGTATTTTGATGACAGGGGAAATCAATGCTCATGTTTCTTTATTTGGTCTCATAAAACAACTAGTTAAACCTCAGCGAAACTGTGACCTTGCCAAAAAGTTTGTGCAATTTTGAAACAGCAGGTCTCAAATCTGTAGGAATTTCCTGGAGGAGCTAATTCCTAATTTTTAGTTCTTTAAATGTGAATTCCTTGCAGGTTGTGCAGTCAGCAGAGGAGAATGCTGTCTTGTCTGCCCAGCTGAAGACTCTGTCTCAGACTCTGAGGGATAACCAGCTTCATTACACTGATCTGCAAAATCGATATTTAAGGCTGGAGAGGGAATATCAGTCAATGCAAGTGGCATCTTTCCAAGGCTCAGTTCAGGTAAACAAATTTATGGAAATACTTTTAGGGTTTTTTCTTCTGTGCTTACATATTTCATGCCAAAAATTCACTTTTTGTTGTACCGATCCAGTCCTTTTGCTAGCCCTTTATGTGTGCTGAACATAACTGTCTTTATTGTTGTAAAGCTGGTTTAATTTGACTTTTCATTTAAAGAAACTGTTTATACATGATTTTTCTTTTGTTTTGGAATATTTTTTCAGTTGATCCACAACTGGCAGAGGTAATTGAATGATGAATTATCAATGGATCAGGAAATTTAGTGATAATTTCACATCATTCATGAATAGTTTTGCAAGGTGTTTGAGTAATATTTTCAGAAGTGAGATTTATAACACCACTTCAGCATTTTGGTACCGTTTGCCAACCCCTCATACACATAGGTTAATAATAACAATAAGGTTATTATTTGAGGGCTGGAACTAGATGATTTAAGGTCCCCTCCAAGCCCATGCTTTATGATTCTATCATTATTCCTTTGTGAGATTTTAATTTTTAAAAAGCTTTCCTGTACTGCCTTGGCTATTCATTAACAATCAGTTAATATAATGCCCTAAAATAACATATGTGGATACTTATAGTAAACAACCCTCACTCTTCCATAAATGGGAATAAACCCAAACAAGGAGAACTATAAATTAAAAATAAATGAATAGCTGCAATATTTTGAAGCTGTACTCAGTGCTGCATTGTTATGTGGATATAGATGCATTTCTTTCCCCTCAGAATTATTCAGAGATTGCTGCGGTAACAGGTGTACCTGTATCCTTCAGGTCCCACAGCATTCCTCAACTTTCTGTTAGAAAACAGGCCTGGAAAATTTCAGCTCTGGAAATCAAAAAATTAAATGGCATCAAAGAATTATTTGTTCCACTGTTTTGTGGTGCTTATGGCTTCTTTAATTGAAATAAAGACTTTTAGCAAGTAGAAAAATGGTGACTGGCTTTTTTTCCCCCCTCCCTTAATATTTCCTAGGATGAAACTAGAGGAGAAGTTCCCCCTGGAGCGCCACGGGAAAGATCTGGGATTATTGTTGAGATAGACAATATGGAGCTAAATGAGCTCAGGAAAAGGTCAGGACTCAGAGCATGTATTAGCAATATTGTTTTCCTGACAGCTGTGTTGTGAGTGTGAAAGTAATGCTTTTGTATCCCTCTAGGCATTTGTGTGGAGAAGGGAAAGAAGTGGATTTACAGTGGATTAAATAAAGCATAAGTCATATCCTTGAATTGTTACCATCTGTGGTTTGGTTTTGTACCTTACTTCATTTCAATATAAAGCTAAAGCATCTTATTATAATTAAGTCTGTCAGAAAAAGGAAGATTTCTTAATAAAAAAAGAGCAAAAAAGTAATTCTTTAAGTACATAAAATACTGATTTCAGGTTACGTTTTGTCCTAGGCTTGCAGAGACTGAGCAGCAGTATGAGTCCCTGCAGCAGGCTCTCTCCCAGCTGACAGAAACACTGGCAGAGGAGAAGAGCAGGAGAGAAGCTGCAGAAGAGGCTCTTGGGCTCTCTGAAGAGACAAGTAACAGGTAAAATACCGTGTCACATTATTTGTTTGCTTTTTATTTTTAGTGAGAGGCTAGTGATAGGTTTTCCTGTGGGTGTTAGATTTGTGAGCAAATAATAGAACAAACAGATAATAGAACCTCCTTTTGAGTCCACAATGCCCAAAGCAATGGAAATCTACGTATAACTGTGTAAAAAAAGCTAAGTTTAACCCTGGATGAAGAAAGTGTTACAAGCTTTGGATTTTTTTTCTTTATTTAATTTCATCTGTTGGGCTCAGTGGTATTTCTTTTTTTCCAAGTTAGAAAAAAAAATCACATATACAGCTTTAGCAGAGCCACTGGTTAGATTTAAAATATCGTTATCCATCTGCCTACATAAAGTATCCCTCACAACCATCATCTGATAATCACTATTCAGTCAGGTAGTAATTTTGGTGTTTATTCTGAATAAATGAAACATCTTAAGTGTAGATTGTAAATAGAGACTGAAAAAGACCTGGCAATATAAAGTGAGTCTGACTGCTCTGTGTGGAGACCTTCCCTTAGTAATGTAAGAATGCAAAATAATGTTTTTGTGTGAATTCAGTACTTAAGAGGAGATAATTCAGTACTCCATGTCTCTCTGTAATTTTTCTCTAGATTTGAAGTGAGCAGTTACAGATCTGTACCCACTGAATACACTGTCCAGATGGAAACTGAGGAGGAGAGAGAAGCCTTAATAATCAATCCCAGTGAACATGTTGTTGTGAGAAAGGTAAGGAGATGAAAGCTTTCAAAAACCCTGAAGTACCAGCTACTTAAAAAGGGTGTGCATGTTGTATCCTGCTGGTTGCATACTAGATTGAAATGGCACAGCTCATGATCCCCCTCATGCTACTGCTTTCTTTTTTCTGTCTTCCCTTTCCTATATCTTATTTTCAACTGTCATTCATTCTTGGAGTGCAATTTCCCTCCTGAGTGACTGGAAATCACTGATTTTTTGTTGTCCCCTTTATGTGTAAGCAGTGGCACAAGGCAGCTTACTTGTCTGATGTGCCTTGGCTCTGAAAAGCTGACTGAAGTACTCTGTGTGTTTGGTATCAAGGGGCTGGGCAGGCCATCATTCAAAGCAGCAAACTACTTCTGAAACTCCATTTCACTGAAAAAACATCTTTAATTTCTTTCTCTTTGGGCTGTGAGTCAAATACAAGCAGCTGTGTAAACTGCATCATAAGACATATTGCCTGTGTCAAAATTAAAATAGTAGCAATCATATTTGTACTACACACGTCCATTAAATAAAATGTGCATTGCATTTAATTATGTGCATACACAAAATGCAGTATGCATCTCTAGTATGTCTGTGTAACTGCATAATACACAAATATCTGATATTCATTCCTCTCCCCTTTTAATAATGCTGGTTTTTTGAACTTTATATTATTTATGTTTTTATAGCCTGTGGTGTGGCATCAATTGCTATGTCACAGGTTTACAGTGCCTCAGAAATCCAAGCTGCAGTGGAGCTTCTTGTTCGTATTCATGATTACTGATATGGAATTTTTTGTTTCCTACCCAGATGAAAGGAGGAGCCCTTTCCCTCCGGAGGTGGCTCCGAGGGCGAAGCCTTTACTGTTCCAAACTGCTGACTTCCCGAGCAAAATCTCGCTATTTATTCCTCGCTTACCTGGTCACTCTCCACCTTGTTGTTTTCCTGTGCCTCACTGGTGTCCTCTGAATACTGCATTTCCTGGGTGGATTATTTTGGTGTGCCAATTTAGGATAATAGACTCCTCACATGCTGCTGTTACACTATGCACTGGACACAGTTGTAAATATTCCTGTGACACTACATGAATCTTTAGCTTCTCCAATGAAATTTGTCTTTATCACACTTTGCTCCAAAGTTGACTTGAATGGCTCTTTCACAGTGGAATATTATATTTGCTAAGGAGAAAATATTCCCCCCTGCCCTCTAAAGAAACTGCTGCATACAAGTTATTTAATATTGTTTGTGAGTACATAATGATTGGTTACTACTGAATGGGTTGTAAATGATATCTTTTCTATACAAATTTTATTTTAAGAGTCAAACTATAAATTTCAAAGGAATATCAAGCTATTACTGTATATTGGCTTCTTGATTATCACAAGAAGTTTTATAGAGTGCAATAAAGGAAGAACTACTGAATTTTTGATTTTCTTTCATTGCTTGGAGGGTTTTTTGGCTGAAAATAAAAGAATTAAGAAGGTTGTTCTTTGCCATTCAGTTTGTGCCCAGTTCTGTGTGTGGTAATGAGGTAAGCTGATGATTAAAGATTCAGTAAAGATTAAGAATTGAGATGACATAGAGAAATGTCTTCAACTTCTTATATTCTCTTCTTTGTGATTTTTTTCCCTGTAACTTGTGGGGAGTTTGGTAATTTTTTAATTGACTTGCATTTCTTGTCTTGGTGGGGTTTAGTCACTGCCTGTCTTTGTGCAAAATGTTCCTCAGCTGCAGAACACATGAAATTCAAGCTTATAAAGGCACAACATTACATATTTTACATGTTTGAGCTTCAAGGTACAAGTCAGTAAAGGGTAAGTTTTCAACTGAGAATCTTGTGGGGAAAAGAAAAACCACTGTAGGTAAATCCTGTAAACTTTCTTCTTTTGATGGTCTTTAATATTTCTTAGTCTAGTAAAGGTCTGATTTTTTTAATATAAATCCAATCTATTCCAATATAATTGATGATTTTTTTTTTTGTATAACAGTAATTACTCATCTCCTTTGAATGGCTGATTCAGTCCCTGTTTTCAGCCCTCGTGTCAAGTACTGGGATAACATGAGGACTGTACATGCTGACTTATCCCTTTCCAGCCTGAAGATGGGTGTTAGCAGAAGGATACTGAACTATTGTTAGCTAATTATGTTAATTATGTTACAGTGAAGCAGAATGCTTTTCAATGGCAACACTGGACCTACAGTCCTTCCAGTTTTACCTTGTGTGAGGGATTTTTGTCTTGAGGGGAGAAAACAACCCTCTGTCCTGAGGCAGAGCAAGTTAGTGAGTGGGAAAGGATCCAGAGGTGTTGGAAATTCTGTCCTAATTCATCCAGGCCTTTTTGCTGTCGCTGACAAGCACAAACTGAAAAAAAAAGTTTCTGCAAGTGGCTTGACATGTGTAGATATTCTGTGAACTCCATTCCAGAGGCTGATATAATATGTTGGGAAGTGAGACCATGTCATTTATGAAGCAGCTTCTACAAATCATCACCATTTCCTGGGTGAGTATTGCCCTGAGAGTGTTTTCATGTTACATTTCATGATTTAAATGCTTTGCTTTGCTTAGTCTGAGATCTTTGAGGGATTACATACTGGTTCCTGGACTTGGATGCCTTTTACCTGAGGCTTTGAAGGCATTCCAGAGGGTCTGCTGGTGTAGGGTAATACAGAACTTAGTGAAACGAAATGAGGAAGAACAGTAGTGTTTTCTCTCTGAACATCAGAAAACAAAAAGGAGGTTCTCTGTTAATTGTATTTAATTTTGCAGTTGGGAATTAGACAAGTAAAAACAAACTAAAAATTAAAATCAAGCAAATTTAGGAACTGCTTTAAAATTCTCTACTCTTAAATTCCAGTGTCTCGTGATGTAATTTCTGATGTATTTAAGGGCTGAGTTTCCTTCTAGTTTACATTGTTGGAATCAGAATCTGCAGGCAGTTCTGTAATGTTGGATACTGGTAAATAGTTGGTTTATTGCACTCTTAAGCCTTTTCCTGAGGGTTTTAGAAGAAAATAACAATTCACAGCAACATTCACTCATGTTCAAAGATACCAGCTACCAGAACTAATGGTTAAACATTCCTTTATTAAAGCTGTTTGCAAATGCATGTGATAAAATCCCATTTTTGCACTGTTAGGGACAAGAACTTTGCTGGATGAGTGCTGTTTTTCATTCCTTTCCCATTTCTGAAGTACCCTTCCTTACTGAGTGAAGTTGCCAAAAAGGAAAAATAAAGTCCTCCCCTCTTCTCAAATGCTTAAAGAAGCAATTGTCCAATCCTAAAAATAACCACTGCATCCAAAATACATCTTGGTGAACTCCAGGCCCTCTCTTGGTGGGAATTTTGCCATGAATTTCAGGGAGATCAGCACTTTGATGTGATGGCCAACTCCTGAAGTTGAGATGTTCCTGGGTGGTTGTGCCAGCTGCCTCTTGTTCTTTTTCCCAGAATAACCACTTCCATGAGGTATTTACCATTTACAAACATGAAGTAGGGCCTAGAGTGAGCACTCCACATTACAGAGTGGCTATCACTGCAAACACACAGCAAATGCTTCCCTGAAACTTTTGCTGGGGGTTATTTTTAGTTGTTCATTTGAGATTGATGGTGACCCTCTGAGAAAAAGGCAAATTTCAACAAGCCATGAGGGAACAACTGCGATCTTTGAAGTAATGAAAGTTTGGTGATTCTTATGTACCATGAACTACTAACATTAGAGCTGGTATGTGCATACCAGCACAAATGAACTTTCTAAAAGATAATTCAACCTTGAAAGAGATGGGGTTTATGATGAAGCCCAAGTGGAGCTGACTGTGTGTCCTCTTGCAGAGCTTGTCCATGGTCATGAGGCCAATTAACAGAATATCACAGGATCCTTGGGGGTGCAGCAGATTTCCCCTTTGAAAATAAAGGACTGATTAGTTTGCTTTGGTAAAACCCATTCAAGTGGAAATTTGTGTGGATACTTCACATGCTTTGTTACATCAGAGCTTTAGCACTGACTTTGCTGTTTAGGTTTATTCTTTCCCAACATTACTCCTCCTACAGGAGTTTGCTCTCTAAATGATGGGGTGTTCCTTCTGTCCTGTTCCATCCCATCTGAGGAGTGTGTCCCTCCCTCCAAATTGGTGCTTTGCAGCCAAAATTATGAGGCACTGTGTGTGATGGTGATGAAACCACTGCCCTTGTATGTGACAGTGGTGCTGGGCTTTGCAAAGTTGGGTTTGCAGGAGATGATGCCCCAAGAGCTTTATTTCCATGCATCATTGAACATCCTGGACATCAGGTCAGTTGGTACCAAAATGAAAGTTCTGTTTGGTTTGGATGGTTGTGTTTTGGGGGAAAAAAAACAAACCAACTTGTTCAATTAATTAGTACTTGCTGAATCAGTGCAAATTAAAAACATTGGCAGAGCATTGCTAACATGAGAAACCAAATGAATAATAGTGATAAGTTCCCTTTTTGTTCCATTAAGCAACAGTATGGCTCAATAAAATTCCAAAGAGGATCTCCAGCACATCACTTTATAAACTCAAATAAGACTGGAAAGGATAACTGTGGCTTTTCTTGACCTTGAAAAGGGTCTTTCTGCTTAATCAGATTTCTAAAAGTTCCTTTGCAAATACAAGATGCAGATTTTTGTTTGTTTTGTTCATATCTGAGCCAGATTTTAATTTTCTGGACTGTCAAAACCCTTCCCTGAAGTTCTGTGTCATGAAAAATATTTTACCTCATATGTTGTTATATTATTTGGGGCAATTGTGATACACTTCCTAATGCAAAAGTGATAAACTTAGTAAAACTATTATTTAATAAGTGAGGGTTTTTTAAAAGAAAATCTGTCTTATATATAAGTGTCTCAGTTTAATGAGACTGAAGAGTTTTGCTAAGGAGGATGAGTTATGAGGAAGACCAAGCTCCTCCCTCTAAGAAACTGTAAATCCAAAATTAAGAGGCTCCAATGGAAGAAGTATGGAGAAAAAAAAATTAACAGCCCTTTATTAAAGGCTATATGTGTATTGGCAGAACAACAAAAGAACACAAAAACAACTAAACAATAATCCTGTACCCAAAAGTCCCCTCCAATTTTGGCGCAATTCTCAGCACGGCCAGCAGGGGGCGCTGTTGGGCTCTGGCAGTCGTCGCGTGAGGTCCCGGGTGCGGGAGAGGCCGAAAATGGAGATTTCCCCCCAAAACTAAGAAGGGGAAGGGGAAAAGGGGGGAAAAAAGGGTTCTTCCCGCGAACTCACGCTGTCAGCGGCTGGCTGTGGCCAGAACTCCCCCAAAGGTTCCTTTGCAGAAGGGTCAAGCCTCTCCGATGAAATCTGAGCAAGTCTGGGCTGGGGGCAGAACAGGGCGCAGGAGAACGGAGGCGAACCGGGGCCAGAAGCAGACAGATGACCCGGCCAAAACCAAAGCGAGCTCAGAGTCCTTCCACACACATCCACTCCCTGAGTCAGGGTAAAAGTGAAATGCCTGCTGTTTCCCGAGGAGAGGAAAAAGAACCTCATTACCTCCCCCCCTCAAGTCTTCTGCGAGCTATCAGCCTGGAATGTGGGCCTGCTAGCTAGTTCTTTTGTGTGTGTCAATCACCCTAGGCAAACACTCTACTTCTCCCTCGTTCAACATCTTTCTTTTACAGCGATGCAGGGGAAAGAAAAAAAATTCCCCCTTTTTTTTTTTAGAACAAATAAACCTATGGCAATAAGTTAATACTTTTCCCCCTCCAAAATGTACATTTTTAGAAATATATTTCTCTTCCAACAACGGGAAATCTCACTGTTTCAAGGCATTAATGGAACTGCTTAGACAGAAAGAACAACCAAATAAGTAAATCTAGAGAGATTATACCTTTTCCACCTATAATTCCTTCCCTTTATTCCTTTGTGCAGTGACAAAGGACCCACCTCTGATGGAGAATGATGAGTTTGCTAGTGCCCACCTTGGCTGGACTCCTGTGTGGGCAGGACCAAGTATGTGATACTTCTTTCATTTTTGAACCTGCCTTGCTCTTCCTGGTTGATTTGTAGAAGGAATGATTCCAGAGTAGGTGGTTTCCCATGAATTCACATTTTAGTTCCTTACATGTTTTGGGAGTACATTGTGTGAGGGCTGTAACAGGTACAGTATTTCACATGAAGCTTTAACTTAAAAATGTTATTCTATCTCTGATGTGCCTGATATATTGCACTAATATTGGAATAAATCCTTTGCAGGATGTTATGGTTGGAGTGGATCAAAAAGACAGCAATGTAGAGGCTGAAGCACCAAGTAAAAGAGGGATCCTGAGCCTGAAATACCCCATTGAACACGGAGTTATCAGTAACTGGAGTGACATGGGAAAGGTGGGTGTTTATTTTTAATGTAATTTTGTTGAGGCACAGCTTCCTTGGTGTGTGGCCAGAGCAGTGACCTCTTTGGGAAGTGCAGGAGAAACTGGAGAGGCATGGGAATTCCAAAGGACACTCTCACTTTGTTAAATATCTCAGATATTCCATATGGCCTTGTCTCTTGGGGAAGTGTCTGAGTGTGTATGTGGAAATATTGTTCCTCCTCTTTAGAGACAGGATTGCTATTTGGTCCCTTGTCTGCAGGTGAAATGGCCTGGGGAGAAAATTCCACAGGGATATTCTCCTGGTAATGTTTTCCTACGGAAAATACCACAGAAAGGATGACAAGGGGCTGGGGTTGTTCTGTACTCACACTTTCCAGGATGAGGTGTGTGCAGTTATAATCTCTGTATCTAAAGTCAGTTCTTGGGTCGTATTCATGAACCCAAACTGGTGAGTGCAGAGTGTTCCAGAGAACAAACCAAAGTCGATACAGGAGCAATGGGACTTCCTCAGTTCGTATCTGGAAATAAATTGCCCTCCTACTCCACTAGGTGGAAGCACAATATTTGGATTTCAGTCTTGCACTGTTTGCTGTGAGGACACCTTTCTGTCTACCTCGTACATCCCATTATGTTTTGCTCCCTGATAATTTTCCTGCTGTCTGCATTCAGCAAGAAATTATATTTTGCTGAAGAAAAAAATAAAAATTGGAGGTCACTATTTTTGTTCCCGCATCTGGAAATTGTCCTGTGCACAACAACATACTGCTGTGTGTTCCTTCTCTGGGTAATGCTGGATGCAAGAACAGACTATCTAAAATGTAATTAGGAAAAGGAATTGGAGAAGGTTAAAAAGGTGACATGTGCTTTCCTGTAGTGTGAACTCATCGGTGGATAGATTGGTTTTAAGGTGTAATGTGAAGGAGGCTTCAGGCCGTGCTGTAATTCAGATAATGGTCAGGTACTATATGGGCCCTTGTAGCTTTAGCTTTTCTTTGTCACTTAAATCACTTGTGGAAGTGGGTCTCCAAGCTTCCCTTCTTCTGGTAGGGAAGAGACAAGAAACAGAGCTGATGACTGTTATGATTATCGCAAATAAGGAAAAAAGTGTATATTTGGTTATATACAGGCGTTTGTGATTCAGTTATGTATCTCAAGTCCCCCTGAAGTTCTGTAACAAACACAAAGACTCCTGTGGCTGAGAGAATTTCTGAAATAAAATTCCTAGAGTTTTGATGCCAAGGGAATATCTTTTGTATGTGCATATATATATATATATATATATATATATTTCCCCCAAAATTTTCCAAACCAGTTGCATGATTTTGATCCAAGCCACAGATTTATTTCTAATGCTTGGAAATCATACTCCTAAAAGCATCTTGATGCAGAAGAGACAAGGGAATTACTGGGTAATGTGCCAAAAATGGGACAAAGGCACAATAGTGCAGTGCCCAACCATCCACAGGGTGCAGAAAGAGGGGGATCACCAAAGAAGGAGGCTGAGTGTGAGTGGAAAGTGGGAGCAGGGATGCTGCAGGATGTGGGAGCGGAGCGGGGAGCACATTCCTCTTCTCCCGTGCTTCAATTCACAATATTCAAATTGGGCCTGCTCTGTTTTCCGCTGGATAATAATACAGGGCATTGTCCATCCCTGTTAATTTGTTCCCAGGAACTGACCTGACAACATGTGGGAGGGATGGAGCTTTTCTGGCTCTGGTGACAACATAAATGTTTAATATAAGTGTTGGGGTAATCTGGGATAGTTCTTCCTCAGTAATTTGTCTTTGCTCCTCACATTTGAGTCTCATGGCCTTTAAAATCAACACTGAATTATTTTGGTTCTTGGGGGATATCGTTATCCCTCAACATTGTGGTTACAGGGCTGTGCAGTGCCTGGATTTGAGGGAAAACCTGGAAACTGCCCAAGATTTAGACAGGGTCCTGCTTTGTATGAGTCCAGGTTTGTTCCTCACTGCTGAAATCACCAGCACTTTGTAAATTATGTAAGCACCTTCTCTTCCCTTATGTGTTCCCTGTCTGAAATTATATCTGACTGATATATATTTTTAAACTTTTACATAATTACTTTCTGGTTTATTCAACTTCTCCCTGCATTTCTATTCTAAACCTTCAAATGGAAGATGGCCTGGCATCCCAAACCCCACTTCTGGAAACATCTGATTATTCATTTTTTTTAGGGGATTGATATGGAACTGAAATTTCTTTTTAGGACTGATTTTTTTTTTTCCCCCTAATGAGTAATTCCAGCTCTGGACAGCTGTTAACTTTGTAGGTGCTTCACAAAAGAGGATCTTTCTTCCATTTAAGTTCATTTTGGAGCGTAATAATACTTGTTTCTGAGATATTCTTCAAATAAACTTACCCATAAAACTATCCTGATGTTTTGTGCTCAAAAATAAGCTCCTTGGGTCAGGCAAAGCTGAGGTAAACAAAAGAATAAAACTGCAGCACAGTGGTTTCAGTTCTAAAATAGAGGTGAATTTGGCAGATTTGCACTTGCATGCTTTCTGTCTATTTTAATATCTGTAAAAATACTAATAAAATAAAATATATAAATAACAATTTTTATTGTATGATAATACCACTTGTATTTTAAATATAATATTATTTCATATAATTTAATACATTACTAAAAAGATATTAAAAATCCATTACTCAGGCTGTATTTGAAGAGCTTTCTTTGTAGTTCTGTGGGCAGAGGAAACCATTTTGAGACACTTTTCTAAAACATTTTTTCACTTCTAGATTTTGACATCATTCTTCCTACAGCAAACTCTGGTTTTGCTGGAGGAACATCCCACCCTTTTGAATCTGAAGGCCAACCATGGAAAAAATTACTCAGGTAATTGTCTGAAACCTGTGCCATGGATCATTCCTGCATGGAAGCAGCTAAAAAATATAAATAGTCCCGGGTGTTCAATATTGTTCTTAATTTGGGAGCTAATCCCTTATGGTTAGTGTGGCAAGATGGGTAAGCCATGATCAGAGAGCAAGAGTTGCTGCTGCTCTTGCATTATCAAGGTCCTGAAACATTTTAGACTTGCAAATATGTCACTGCCATGCACAGGTATCCTTTTAAAAGCTTGGAGTGATTTTTTGTGTGTGTGTGTGTTCACAAGACTGTGCTCAGTTCTGGATGTAGGAAAGCTGAAGCCAAGAGGCTTCTGATGCTGAGTTTTGGTGTGTATCTAGATAATGATAACACAGGATTATGTGATATTTTTTTTTGGTTGGAGTTGATGAGTCATTGATGTATTTAAAAGTGAGGTTTGAAAGTGCTGGTTGTGAACCAGCTGAATCTTCAGTGTGAGTTTTGGATCAGTGGCACATTTCAGGTGCCCACCTCTGGCTACCAAGAGTGTTCAACTTGTAGCGCAACTCCTCAGCTCCTGCTTTCTACCCTTGACACTGTCCCTTCATCAGCACTTCTGCATCAGACAAAATACTACTTGTCATACCAGAATTGTGAGTTTTGAAAGATTAGAATGAAGCACATGACTTTGTTGAACTTCCAAATGGAGCACCTCTTCAGGGGTCAGGGGAAAAGTGTTCCAAAAGTGGAATGTTTGTGTTGTCTTGGGAAAGTGAGTTGTCTTAGCAAATGATGCTTTGCTAAGTGTTCCTGCCTGTGACATACCTAGTCTGATTTAGCCAACTTTAATCAGAACAAAAAGCAGACCTCTGAAGTTTTATATATTTTGGAGCAACTTTATGGCCAAAAGTCCATGTTACAAGTTTAACCAGTGATAGAAAGAGAAGTAAATGTGATTTAAATACAGATATAGGTATAGAATCACCTGGGGAAATGGGATGTGACTCTGCACTTCCCTTTGTTCCAACTTTTGGCATATATTTAATTGGAAGATTATGCATCAATTTAGCAACAGTGTAAATAAATTAATTAAGTAGTGAGTTTGACAGAATGAATTACTGGGAGAGAATACAACTGGGAGATAGCAACCTACAACAGACCATAAGAACAGTGTACTTTTTAACAACCAGGAGATGTGGCTCATACAACAGACGTGTCCAGGACTGCTCCTCTGTCATTATACTGTAATGATAAATCTTGCTTTCAAGATTGTTTAAAGGCTTCTTGTTTATTGCTGATTGCATTAAATTCATCACCATAATTATGAAATATTGTTAATTCATGTAACCTTTAATTGAAAGCATAGTTTCCATTAAATGTTGGCTTCATTGGCAAAAATATTAGCTTCTGAAATCCAAAATTTGAGTTAACCCCCTCACATCAGAAGCTCTGATGGTGATGGTTGAGTCCCCATCCCTGTAGGGATTTAAAAGCCATTAGATATGGCACTTGAGGACATGGTTTAGTGGTGGCCTTGGCAGTGTTGAGTTTACAGTTGGACTCAATGATCTTAGAGGAATGGCTTATTATTCCTTGAGATGGGAATAGACAGATTATTCCTCATGGCTTCTTCCAGCTGTGTCTTCTGTGCATTTTTTATGTGTGTGTAGATATATAGATATAAAACTGTCATGGTTTGAGATAGCCCCAAAATCCAATTCTCTAGCTCCATCCCCCCTCCCACATCTCAACCGAATGTGAGATGGGTTTTTCCAGACAAAACACAACCAGACTCAGAATGGGGAAAGGGAATATATTACAATGACTGTACAAATAAATACTATAGCACATTATACACACGATCACAACTATCTCTACCATGACATATAGTATTTACAATGGATCAGATCTCTTCTCCCCTCCAAATAAAAGTCCAGGAGGGAAAGAAAGACAGATCCCTTCCAGTCTCTCAGGGCAGCAGCTTCTTCAGAGTAGCAGAAGCAGTCTGTCTCTCTCTCTCATGCATGCAGCTGTTGCTGGATCTCTGCCAGCACTCAGGAGGGAGGTATCCAAGCTCCCTCGGCCCCGTCGCCAACCAACCGAGGGGTCTTCCGTGGGCTTCGTAACCCCAGACAAGGCCGTTCCACCACGTCATATCACGAGACGCAGGGGGTCTTCGTGACGGTCTGGTATCTCCAGGAGATTCAAGCTCCTTGCAGGGCCTCTGTGCCCTGTCTCAGGCTGCGAGCTTCTTTGTAGCTTGCAGCAAGGGAGGGCCCCCAAGGCCAACCTCCCACATCGTCCTGGCTTAGCTCTCAGGACGACCTGAGCTTCTCAGCTCTTCTCTGCAGTGCATGTTGCACTTCAAGGCTCTTTCAAGTAATAGTCCATCATCCTCCTCCTCTCCAGGAGGTCTCAAAGGAGGTTTGGGGGGTCTGGTATCAGTTCTTACCCCCAGAACTCCGTAGCTCTGCTGCTAGCTTCTGCTGCTTCTCTGGTTCAGGTCTTATCAGTTGGCTTTTAGCCATAACCTCTGGACGCTGCCGCCACTTCTGCTCTGTCTCTGCTCACTCACGATGGAAACATCTCCCAGCTCACAGCTACAGACACATAGTCCAGCGTCACACTGTTCCAAGTCTCTGTAGCCCCCAATTGGGGCTGGGGGGCCCCAGAGGCCCCGAGGGGCTCCGGGCCCCTTTCCTCGTGGCTCCTACAACATGGCTACTTTCTACTACTACCAAACTACAACTCCTCTCTTCCAGTCTGGTTGTGGTATGTTTACATTTCTGCAGGAGCGCTCACTGGACAGAACTTCAAAACTTCCAGGGGTTTCCACCCCTTGGGGGTTACCACTTTTCTTAGCCTCTGGGGGGAAAACAAGGTTCAAACCACTACAAAAACTAGATTTCTCCACTGTGCAGTCCTGCCATCAGTGTAAGAAAATTATCCCAGGGGTATCATCTTCAATTAATGTTGTCAGCAAAAATCTGACCTGGGTTAATAGAAAGATATCCACTGGCTTTGGTGATTTTCTTTTTAAATGAAATCCCAAAGAAAATATAACATGCTGTTCACAGAAGAGCTGTGGTTCAGGAGGGGACTCAGGAGTAGTAACTGTCAGTATTAATTTTAAAAGAAATAAAATTTACCATCTCTTCAGATCCTGTTAAGTGTAGATCTGAAAGTTTTTTCCACTCTTCATTCCAGATTCTGTTTAAAACATTCAGTGTGCCAGCCATGTGTGGAGCAATTCAGGCAGTGCTGTCTCTGCCTTGGGACCAATGACTGATGAGTCTTCCTGGGGGTTGGATTTTCCACCTGTCCTTCTCTTGAAGTCTTAAGTCTTCATATAGTTTGAAAAAAAACTTAAAATACCACAGGCCTTTGTAGCTTGATGCCGTGATATAATTTTGTATACAAAGATGGGCAGCTTACAGGAATTATGACTGTCATAAATACTTGTTTTATGTTTAAAATTCAATTATTTGTGTATCAGAAATGCCTTATTCATTTTGAGTGGAAAACATGTGCTTCATTTCCTACCCAAGAATAACATGGCTTTACACAGGTATCGTTATATTTTCCTAGTGGTGTGTTTTACTTTAATGAGAGATTCACATTTTTATTAAGAAATAGGGGGGTTTTTTTACAGTTTGAACATGACTTCACGTCTGTAAAGTGCTGGAGCTTGTCTTAAAAATGGGTTTGGGAAAATCTGTGTCCTGACCGTCACACTGTGTGTTGATTAAAAACTTCTTGGCTGCCTGCAGCAGAACAGGAGATGGTGAGAGACATCAAGGAAAAGTTTTGTTGTGTGGCATTGGATTTTGAAAATGAAACAGCAACTGCTGCTTCTTCCTCCTGTGTTAAAAAGAGCCATGAGCTTCCTGATGAACAAGTTCTCACTATTGGGAAAGAAAGTTTCAGAAACTCCCATCCAGGCATCCTTTGTAGGTGGGACAGGACTTTTCTTTCTAGGGATTTGGCAGACAATGAAAAGGAGAACTTTTAGCAAGTATAGACAACCTTCAGCTGTAGGAACTGAGTTATTTATTCTCAAATGGAGTCAATTCTTTAGAAGCTATGGATGCTGCTGCTGCTGGACAAAAAGATGCTTCAGATGAGAAATACCTGAAGCCCAAGATAGTTTCAATCTCTTATAAATGGAGTAGAGTGTGTAAAACTATGAGATTGTGTTTTTTATCTTGAATGGCTGATACAGAACTGCACAGTGCTGTTTATGTGGATTTTTTTACCTAGATAATGCTTCAGCTTATCATTTTAGTCTAATTATCTGTGATTTAATAATTCAAAATCAAATCAAACATTATTTTCCACTAGTTTTATCTGTAGTGTTACAGTTCCCATTCTATCCAGTGGATGACTGACACTCCATGTGAGTAACTCCTGCTGCCCCTCACAATTTTCCCACTTAAATTCCCCTCTGGAGGACTGAACAAAATGGCTGCAGGCAGTTTGGCACCATTTCCATGGAGCTAAATGGTGAAGTCAGCTATGTTGGTGTGCAGAAATGAAGCTATTTAAGCATTAATGTAGCTCCAAGTTGAGTGTTTGAGCCTCAGCAGGAGACATTCTCTTTAGTAGACAGAGGGATTTGGCGCCAGAAGTGTGTCAGGGATCAGAGTTGGTGCTCAGTGATGGTCACTATCAGGAATGTAGTGGTGGAAATCAGGATTTTGTGGAGCACACATCTCTGTCAAAATGAGTGTGTTAAACTAGTTTAGAAGTCTAGTGCTTAAAGCTCAAACCGTATTCCTAGGATTCTGTCTGGTCAGCTCCTTATCTTTGGCAAAAAACAGTGCAATATGTAAACTTCCCAGGACTGGCATTCAGATTAAACCAACACCTCAGTGAAATGCCAGGTGTGTTTCTATTTCTAGCTGACAGCTAGAAATAGAAACTTTACTTCCCTGATGGAGCAGCTCCCTATAAACATCTTCACAACTCCAATCCTCTTATATACTTTTATAAAACTTTATAAGGCCTTGATGCTTCTGAGCCTAATCAGACTCAGAGGCTCAGATGGTCCTTATCAGATGTTGCCCTGCCTTTTGCCACATCAGTGTTATCTCTTTTCTTAGATTAAAAAGTTTTTATGAATAGGAACCAGTTTATAGGTTTTGGTGTTTTTTTCTGTGCTGCACCTTTTACAGTCAGGTTGTACTAGGTGTTATATAATAGATATATATGGTGTCCTTCTCTAGTGTGTGCGGTTTATTTCAGAGTCCTGCTCCTTTCAGACTGTCCAAGAAGCTGTCTCATATGTAATTTAAAATTTTCCAAGTTTTTCTGAACTTCTTAGTTGCTTCTTTTTAATTTAGTAATAAATTTCCATTAAAATTCTCAAAATTGGTTTCCTGGGAACGTGTTAAATAATGTGTCACTTCAAAACAACCCCTTCTCCTGTATTAATTTTAACAAAGAAAAATTGTCACCATCATGGAATTTACTAAACCTATGGAATATTTGACATCTAGCTTTTAAATGGGAATGCTGTCTTGTAAGTGATTTCTGAGACTTTAGTCTCCTGCAATTCAATTCTGCATTTCCCATCAGCAATGTTTTCCTGTTAAATGATATAATGTCTGTGTGAGACACTTGTGGTCAGGTATGTCACAGTTCTTGATGTTCACTTTTAAAATACAAGCAGCATTTTAAAGATTTGTTTTGGGGGCTTTTCCCTCTGTTTTTGCTTCGGAGTTAAATGTTATGTCTGTGATGAAATAGTATTGTCTTGGAATTAGTGAGCTCCGTATTAGGGCTTTGCTGACGTTCTAAGAAACTCTAAATACAGGAAAATCTATTTTAAAAAAGCAGCATTTTGGAGATAGAAGATGGAAATGGAAAATCCCAAAACTAGTCATTAACCTCTGATTAAAGTGTTTGTTGGTCATTTTAATTGGGGGTTATGGGCTTTGAAAAAGAAATTACATCTGCTTTACCTCATGTATGCAGAATAGGGAGGGAAGAGAAAAAAACATGGAGTGATGAAAGCAAATCACATTTGTGGAAAACTTCTTGAGACCACTGGGGACACCACAGTTGGGGTGAACTCGACCCCTTTTTCTATCTGCGAAACTTTTAATGAAAGAGGAAAAGGACCTGGTGATCTTTTACTGCAGAGGTTAATAACACATGATACTGATGAGCATTTTCTGTAAGAAGTGAACCCTGCAGATCTCATTACCTGGGCCTCCTGATTGTGCATTCACATCCCACAAGAGGAGTGGAAAAGACACTTGACACATTTAAAAGGTTATAGTGGACAATGTTTACATTTCTGATTCTATTCCCAGTGCATTTTCTTCTTATTAGAAGTATAAAAGACCACTAAGGGTCATCCAGGCTGTTTTCCATCCCACTGCTGGCTGAGGCATGTCTTACTGCAGTGAATGTCAAGGTAAGGACAAAATTTGGGGCCCAATTCATTAACTAGCAATTGCTGTAACTCAATCTGTTTTGCTTGCATCAATTTTAGGTAAAACTCTTGATTTCTGCTGTAAATCTTCATCTAGAAACTGTGGGAAGATGTGCTGGGTTATGTTGAAAGTGTGACAGCAAGGCCAAGTCTTCATCACATCAGAGTTGGGCCAAAGCATGGAATAGTGAAAACCATTCAAAATACCCATTACTCTGTGCTGGTTTAACAGAGCATTTTGGAAAACAGCAGTCCTGAGAGAAAGAAGCCAAGAACAGTAATGTAGTGACAGCAAGCAGTGAGAGTTGCAAGGCCTGACGTGAATTAAATGTGCGAAGGCGGAAGCCGAGCCCAACAACAACTGATATGGAGGAGAATGAGATTAAGGGGTTGAAATATCTCCTGCTTAAGGTTTGCCTCAGGCAAGAGCAAGTTTGTACGTGTGATATGTTGTTGAATTTTAATATGGAAATGTTTCCTGGCATGTATTTCAAACTCCCTAGAAATAGCGATATTGATCTAACCTTCAATTAATGGGAGAGGTCCTCTGTGAAAATCGGGTCTGGGTTTGAATGGCAAATAGCTTTAATATTCTGAGCAGAGTGGATCATTTACACACCTCAGTAAGAGACTATAAATCACCAGGACTTTGGCTTTTTTTTTTTTATTTTATTATCATTTTAATGCAGGCTTGCTTTCCCTGGAGCAAAGGACCAGGAGTGTGGTGGATCATTAAAAAATCACAGAGGTTATGTCAGTAGGTACAGACAACAAATAATACAGTTATGCAAAAGGAAGTTATTTGAAATCCATTCCTGTTTTCTGCTGCCATGTTTTTCAGAAATCTGCTCTCTTTTGGGCAGTGGGATGAGATGAACACTCCCCCCCTTTAGCCTTTACACAATCCAGGGGTATCTTTCCACTTTCAGTTTGCACAGGACATCCATTCTGAAGGCCATTTTTTATAGCAGTCTTTTTCCTTCTAGGCTGTTGGCAAATAACCTTTCTTAACCATGAATTAATACAGAGTTTAACTGAAGTTGATGCTGATATTAAGCAGTATTCTATAGAGCTGTTCATGATCCAGGTGTACATTTTGCAGGTTTACTCTCTTTACTGATTTCCTATCTGGCCCAGAGAAAATTAGGTTCTTACAGGGCTTCAAAGCCTCTAATTAAATCAGAGAAGAATTTCATCCAGTCCTGGCCTCCACTGGTCTGTGAAATACCCAAGCTGAGAGAACACCTTGACCAAGTGGACCCCCTGATTTAATACCATTCATAGAGCTTGCACCTTCAGAACTGACCTTCCCTAGCAGTTTGACCTTGGAAGTGTCACTTTTATTTAGTTAAATAAAATAAAAAGAAAAGAAAAAAAGGAAGAATGGCTCCAGTCTGCCTAAACTTGCCTGGGTTGTGCTACTCAAGTTCCAAATGACAATCCTATCTGCCCACTTTCTGCTGTTATAGTCTTAGCTCTGTTTCTGGATCTACCTATTTCCCTGCTGAAAGGTGGAGAAGGATGAACTGGGTAGAGTTTTGTCATACTTTTTAGCTGAAAAGCATTAATTAAGTGCTGTGGTCTGGGTTTGAATTTATTTTACTTTTGGTAAGGTTTTTTTTCTGCAACAAAATATCCTCTTCTGATCTCTTATACAGACTTATTTTCCAAAGGGTTGTATGGTGGTTGTCTGCAGAAAATACCACTAACTCTGAATCTTTTCCTATGGCCATTCCAGTTGCTGCATGTTTTGCTGTTGTCCTTGGTGAGTGAGAGAAGATGTGATTCTCTGAATGTGTGCAATTCCCTGGCCAGGCAACTGCTTGGGGATTGTCAGGAAGCTTTCCTT